TTTAATKGTGATATTTGGATACTAGAAGTATTTTGGTGTAAATCATAATAAYAGAGGGGCGCAAAGCATAAAGGTGCAAACTGGACCCCAATAGTAGTGATTTTATATGCAAATAGAACAAGGAGATATTTCAGTGTGTAAACAGGGCTGCTTTCTTTCAGGAGATATAATAAGAAAATAGAAAAAAGTATTCTGCATTATTTGTAAATAGACATGAAAGTTAATATTTGATTAATATTTATCAGTTATTGGAACTATGAAAGTTTGATTTACTTGGAGGAAAAAAGTTTCGACTGATCAAGGACAATCTRATTCTCATCTACCAGTTAAATTACTCCTCTCTGAAGTTTTATACCAGACATTTTTCTATTCTTAATTCAAAAATTTATTTTCAAGATAGATTTATACTTACCTTTTTGATTTTTTTTAYTGTTTTTTATGCRTTCACAGTCATTTTCTATTTTTTAAATAAAGATTTTCATATTTTTTCACAAGCTTTCATTCTCTTTATCATTTATAGGTTGCCTTTCTTATCATTTTCTTTTTGCTTGTTTCTAATAATTCTGACTCTTATTTCCTTCATTTTCCATCAAAAASTTATAAACAATATCATAAACGCATAAACGGTATCTCGTCTTGTCCTCACCTGTTTCCTTTGCCGCCTAAGCGAGCTACATTTGTGTTCTATGATTGGTGCGCCGCCATAACGAGGTAAACCACGTGGTCGTGACTTGGAAGCGAGATTCGATTTCAGTTAGCAGCATACCCCCCACGAACAACATCTCGGGCGCCAACATGGCCGACTTGCCTGCTGGTGTGAGCGAACTAGAAGTTGAGGTTGAAACTATGGTAGAACCCCAGCAAGAAGTGCAAATTGAGACTATGCCGATGATTGCCCTTCAACCACTGAGCGAGCCTGAGAGAGAAGAAATTGTAGTGCAAACTACAGAGGAGGTGATCGAAGAGTCAAAGCCGTTGGTACAAGAAGTGTCGGTTTCTACAACTCCTCCAACAAAACAGCGCAAGGGAAGAGCAGGGAAAAACAAAGGACTAGGACGATCGGGTAAAGCACTTTCTGGTTCAGGCAACTCTGGTTCGGCTAATGTGTCTAATTCGGATAAAGGGGGTGGTAATGGCGATACTGAACGCACAGGTACGCGCAAATGGGAACAAAAGCAAGTTCAAATAAAGACGCTTGAAGGCGAATTTGCCGTGAGGATGTGGGCGTCGGGTACGTTTTTCTATCAGTGGGCTCCCTCCCTTTAATGTAGTGTTCGATTTGTTGAGTTGCCGWTGTTAGTTTTTGCAGGAAACTTATGTTTTACCCTTGTTTCTCTCTCTTCATGTCAACTATGGCGTCGAAACAGAGGAGAAAAGAGCAGAGCTTGAAGAACTAGAGCGAAATTCTGACTTCAGCGAGTACATGACGGGCAAAAAGATTCCAGCTGGAGGCTTACCTGGTATTGATTTAAGCGATCCGAAGCAGTTAGCAGAGTTTGCAAGGTAAGTTGTGTTTTGATCAGGTTCGGCAGCCATTTTGAAATTTCCCATGACAAACAGCAGCCGTAGCTTTGTTCGCTTCCAAGATGGCGGCTTTTCAACATGGCCGCCCACACTCYTATAGACAGATTAGCTTCCGCAGGTTTTACCTAGTTTTCATGGTGCTCRATATCATTMTTTTCGTTTTTTCATAATTTTGGCTTRGTATGRAAATARGCAATCTCTAAGAAGTGTATTCTGCCTTGGAAACTATATTTTTCGAATATCTATTCGAGAACAAAAGATGATGGCCTTCCCTTCTTGCGCGAGCGTATTGCCAAAGTGTGCATTGTTTTCGGCACTACTTTTGGCGCCAAAAGCAAYATTTTGCTTGAATTCGTTTGAATTTACTATTGAAAATCACTGCCAGTGACTACCTAAAATTTTCACAGATTTTCTGATTTTTGATTTATAATTTTAACCATTGATTGATCAACATAATCCATGTTAAAAATATTTTTTTAATGGTGTATTAAAATGAAATTTATTAAGAAATATTAGTTATTATAATTAATAGATTGTTGATAACTGTATTCATGATATGATGATAAAAATGAATCGATAATGTAATTATTAGTTTTGTAAATTTATGTTTAGTTAAAAATGAACACCATGAATTCTGAACCAATACTGTTTATTTATAGAATGAAACCCAAAAAGATGAAAGASGAAGATGGTGGAAGATCAATTGCATGTCCTCATAAAGTAAGTGTTTGTCTGGTTTGACATGAAATACAACACACACACAGCAGGCCAGACATATGCAGGACAATATGTCCCTCCAAATTCACTTTTTGGAAGGTCATGTCAAGTTTTGAAAGGACAGAAACTTTATTATAGTATTATTTTCTTTTAAAGTGCACATAACCCTGAAAAATGACATTTTTTTCTGCAATTAGGGAAGTTTCTTAGAACTTAAGCGAAAAAATGACACGATTTTATTGAAATTTTTTTTACAAATTTTTAAACATGCAAGAAAAGGTACTTCAAGCTCCCTGCAGTGGACAAGCAATTCTAGAGTATCACTTGACCTGTGACGTCAACCCAGTATCAGATACTTCGAAACCCTCATGTAAACACTGTTGATAGTAGAGTTTTTATAGATTTTCATAGATTTTTGAGTTAAAAATGCCGAATCGGYATGTTGTTTACGGTTAACACACCAAACATCAGAGAAGGTATTGTCTTATTGTCTGCTTTGATGTCACACTCGTTTTCATACTTCTTTCGAGGCTGTCCATACGAAATCCAACTTAAAACATTTGCCAAAAATCAGGAATTGAATGAAAACGAGTCATTTTTTCACCAAAGGTCTTAGAAACTTCCTTGATTTTAGAAAAGAATGTTATTTTTCAGGGGTTAGGTGCACTTTAATTTATAGGTTTTTGTATGTAGAAAGATCGCCAAGCATTTTAATGCCTTGTAAGAGATTTATTTAGCRAATTGAGTTGGATTTGTCTAAAAATGTGGCAGGTCAGTGTGTCCTTTCAAAACCTGATTTGGCCGGTCATCTAGTGAATTTGTAAGGACATTGTCCTTTGACTGGCCATTTGGGCRAACTCTTGGGCTTTCTCAGGTGTTTTATACTTTCACTTCTGCAAACAAACAACACCATCCTATAATTTATTGTTTTTATAATATGAAAAGCTGTGTTTTCTAAGAWCCTGAGTTAACCAACAAAAGAAAGCATGTGTTTGTGCCAGTCTCTTAGTATACCACTTCTAAAGATTCTTTTCAATGATTGGTTTTGGATTGCAATGTAGAAGGATTTTATTCACACATTGGACTGTGATTTTATTTTCAGGGTTGTACAAAAATGTTTAGRGATAACTCTGCAATGAGAAAACATCTTCACACTCATGGACCTAGAGTTCATGTCTGTGCAGAATGCGGAAAGGTAAGATTCGATTATGTGTATAAATATTTCAATATTATGCATTTGTATCATCTTGTTTGCCAACAGAAAACATTTTTCAAACATGTACATGTAGATTAGATAAGTCATAATAAAATAAATTTTTCTGGATAACACATTATCTAGATTGTAATCGTACAATTGTTTAATTTTGCATTCATTCTTTACAAACTGTCTTTCGTAGGCATTTGTGGAAAGCTCAAAGTTAAAACGACATCAGCTAGTACACACTGGGGAAAAACCTTTTCAGGTAWTGACTACTTTGATTAGCATATGTATCTTAAACTTTCTTTTTATTTAACTATTGACAAAGATTCTATACTTAACCTATAAGAAGTAAGTTATATTTTGTATCCTTGCAGTGCACATTTGAAGGTTGTGGAAAACGATTCTCTCTTGATTTTAACCTGCGCACTCATGTTCGTATACATACTGGTGACCGTCCGTACGTCTGTCCTTTTGAYGCTTGTAATAAAAGATTTGCACAGTCAACAAATCTCAAGTCACATATCCTAACTCATGCAAAAGGAGGGAAATCTTGAATGTAAAGACATTAATGCTGAACCATGAACTACCAAAGCCATMACTGCAAAATGTTGCTTGATTTTACAAAAGAGAACAAAGCAACAAAATGTATTATAACATATATCTGGCGACGGAGGATGCAAGAAATGCCAACCCCATGTAAATATGTAGAAATTTCTAAGTAAGATACTACAATTTTCTTTGTTCAAGGACATAGCTTGTGRATCTGATGAAAAATGACAGGAGATACTCTTGGAAGTGAAGTCAAACTATGTCTGTAGCATTTTTAAATAGCCATGGTCTTTAAACTTTTAACCCTTACTAAAGTGTCTTCTAATTATTATTATTTTTCATATTGTAAGTTATTAGATTCTCTGCCCTCTGTTAATGATATTTTTTTAGCCTTGCCTATGGTATGTACATGTAAGGTTCTTAGGGACTTTCAGATCTCTGTATGTTTTGTAATCTTACTGTCTTGTTGTTGGTAGTGGCTTACAAAAGAGTGCACGCCATATATCCATGAAATTATCTGTTAGCAAATATTATTTATTAGACTAGTGGTTAGCTGAATCATAACAAATAACAATGGTAGCATTGTAACCTYTCTCAGGGTTCGTACAGATCCTGGAAAACCTGGAAAGTCATGTAATTTTTTTCGTATTTTAGCTTTACAGGCCTGGAAAGTCATAGGATGTTGTCAAGGGTCACGGAAACCTATTAAAARTATTCTTTTTTTTGTCATCTTATTATGTTGACCACTATTTCGTAAAGAAATTTAAAACAAATACATTATATTTAATGAAGTAGCAAGTGCTGTTAAATCAAATGCTGCAAAAATGCAATCAGTTAAAGGTCACATAAATGAAACGCTACTGTTGTATATGAAGTGGACATCTTTTTTGGTCATTGAAAACATGGAAAAGTCATGAAATTTTAGTACGAACCCTGTCTCTCTGTGTTTCTATCTGTGAATTTTCAGTATGAGTATAACTAATTGCCAGAGTCTGTACACTTGTGCTGTGAAAATAAAATTGTTACTACTAAATAAGTGATATTTAATGGCAAATGAAAAAGGCAAATGTACAATCTTTATTTAGTAGAGTGAAGTCATAAAACCCTTGAAGTGGATATTACACTATTACAACTTAGTATGTCTCTAATTGTATTTTCTTTTGTGTTTATTTGACTATCRCACTTAATAGTCAAATATTTTTGGGGGTGTTTAATGGCTTCACTCTATTTACTTCACTTTGCTACTTGATAGTAACTAGTTGATATTATTTCACAGTCCAAGTCTGCCTACTCTATTTACGACTTTCAAAAATGGGGTGACACKTAATGTCACAGTTGCAATAAAACGAGATCTCAAAGGCCAGCCTCCATAAGTAAACTTTGAGGGTGACTTGCAAGAGTGTTTTGTTATGAATAACATACCAACACATCTTTCAAACTTTCACACTGCCTGCATGTGATCTTTGTAGTGATTTTTAGATGCAAGGCCTTTGAGGTCTCGTTTCCATGATTTGTCACTAGTCCCCTGATATTGGCGGTCGTAAACTTTCGGCATTTTTGAAAGTCGTGTATTGCTACCATTGTGYACTTCTATTTGCTAATTGGCCATTGCAAAATTCTAAATGAGACATGAAAATAGTCACTATCCCCAATTCTTCCTATTTCTTGATTTTTCCAAATTTTATCAGGTGTGTGACTATGCACAAGTTCTTTTTGRATTTTRGAATGTGCCATTATCACAGGTAGTTTCACTGATAAGTGGCATTCACTTTATGAAAATRTGAAAGAATACTATTAAACTCTATTTGTACACTTGATGATGCCAATGCTTCTTGTACTTGTCTAAAAGTCCATAAAAATTACAGGATATTTTCTCAAAAAGTATTAAAAACACTTACAAAAGATGTATGCAATAGTGAAGGCCAGAATATTTTAGTTGCAATGGTAAATTTTCAGTTCTTGTTTAACGAGTTCTTATGGCTGTCAATTCTTTCCCCTGTATTGGAAATAACTTTGTGGATTAATGTACTACCCTTATCACTTCTACTAGCAGTAACTTATGCTGACAAATAATTGACAACAAATCTTAAAAGTAGATATGAGTTGATTTTTGGGGTTGTTTTTTATAAACTCTTAGGGGTAGTTAATAGCCTGTGCAGTACATCTAAGGGGTTTGGGAGATTGGAAACGCTTTCCCAAATTTGCATGCTCATAGGGTAGCTACATGTAAATAATAGTTTTATGTTACAATTCAAAAGTATAGGAAGTTTGTCTTCTGAATGCAACAACAGAAATCCTCAGTGTATTGGCAAAAACAATTCGAAAGAAGGTGGACATGACATGAAGGGATTAGATTTTAGCTTTAGAATCGTCCTAGAGCTTCTCTGCTCGCTTTGGGCTCCCTGTCCTTTTTTTAATATCGAAAACGAAAGTAAAATTTCCGTAATATAACAAAATCCCATCGCTTTCATCGCAATTTCCAAAAAAACTCTCTAAGCAAGATCGATATAAATTTCTTTCGCCAAAGCAAAAAAAAAAAATGTCTCCATTAACCATCGTGAATGTTCAAGAAGAAGATGAAAATCTTATATCTGCGGCGAACATTAGACCTGTGGTCAGATATAGTCGTAGTCTCATACAACAGATAATGCTGCGTTTGCAAGATTTGTTTGACCCGTTTGTTTTCTTTGGTTATTCGTTAATTCTACTCTTTCACTTTTTCGGATGGATCTTCTTTTCAATCTATGCTAGCTACTGCTTTTTCACGCAACATTCAACAACTCAAAGGTGCAACGACTTCGAATATTTCAACCATCCTAAGGAGTTAGAAGTCTGCTGGCAAACGGTTACAGGGATCAACGCTATCGTATACATAGTACTCATTCAAAAACTCCATTTTGCTGACGGAGCATCGTTTTCGCTGAAAAAGCTCGTGAAAACCCCTGCATCAACTGGGCCTTTGCTGCTAAAACTGTTCATAGCAGTTTGCTACGAGGCGTTGATGGTATTTCACGAGGAAAATCAAAGAGCCAAAGCGATAGAAATTGGTTTCATTTGGAGAAACGTCTGTGTGACGTCACTAGTTTTCTTTTTGAACTTTACCTTTCCACCAAGAAGATTGAAATATAAGGTGCACTTCTTTTGCACTTTGACAGTATTCTTTCTGGACCAGTTCGTAATGGCGTCTTTGATGGTTGGACATGTACACTACCGCATTACAGCTTTGAACAAGAGCTCCACGTTGAACGAAACTCAGGATCTGGACTCCTTCAAAAGCCTGATTACAGTGATGACTATTATTGGTGTGTTTACACTACACACGTCTTTGTTGAAGTTTTTTTGGAGTAAGATCTTTGATAGTGCCAAAAACCTGTTACAAGAAGGAGGTATTTAGGGAATATGTGATCAGTGATGCAACTGCTGTCTCAAATGGGTACTTCAAGGGAAGAGATTTTGAACTTTATAATGTACTTCCCTATTGGATTCAAGTAAATATAACAGACTGAAAACAGTCAAAGTCGTTCTCAGCATCTAAAAGAAATGTATGAAATATTGAGCAACTTAACATATTTGTACAGAAGTATTGCTTTACGGGTCTTTACGGCCTTACTATAAAGGAAAAATGGACGAATGAAAGTATGTCTTAAAGCAGAACTAAAAGCATGAAAAATCGAGGACTAAAATATATTATGTTTGAAGGCTTTTGATGGTTTATTATAATAATAAAAAGGCTTAAAGTTGAATGTTTATTTTCCTGATGATCCATTTCCGGTTTACACACCGGAAGTGTATGTTCCCAGAAAACCTGCTGGCCCGAATGACTGTCATTTCCAACATGGCTTCCAGCAGTCTCGTGGTGCAGTTGCAGAGATTGGCGATTCGAAAATTCTGCAATAATTCCCCCATTTCACTACTTCAATTTAATCGAAGTGTACATAACTTAAATAGCAGGCTATTTGTTCCTGTCAAAAGATTTCCTTTGAAAAATCAAACGGCATTTTACTATGTAAAGCCGAAACAGAAGAAGGGACCGACTTTCAGTGGATGGGTCAAGTTTGGATGTGCTGTTACGTTGGTCGTATCTGGTGTAGTTGCTTAYATTGGTAAGTTAATAATCTATCCCTAGGTCTATTTCTCATAAATTAGATCTTTTATTTGTGGTTAGAGAGACGTTTTAGTGAATGACATTATGCAAGTTATGCAATTTTGAATTTTGAAATTTTATTTCCAGATAGCACCTTAACTTTATAATATTAGCTTGAGCGTATTTTTCCTGCTTATTTTATGCTCTACTTAATTTACTGTCTTTTTATTACAGGCTGGCCAGATAATTTAGATAAGGTATTGGAATAATATTAGAATATACTATGAGCTCCATGACAATGATTTTGAAGTTATTTCCCTGTTGCCCTGCAGCTCTTATAATAAAAGTGTTTCTGAAATACAGGCTAGAAGACTGGAGGATAGTAACTTTTACTATGCAGGTCTTGGCAACTTTTGGCTTAATCTAAAACTTCTTGTTTTCGTTTCATTTTAACATTTCAAAGAATCATATATTTTTTTCAAGATAAAGACTTAATAAATTGAACATTCAGCAACAAACAGTCTTTTTAAGACATGTAATAAATGCATACGGTTTGAGAAACGTTTTCTGTCTCTTTCACCAATTTGTATTTACTTTGTAAATATTCTGTTATATTCTTCATTAACTTGGATTTTTTTTTCATCAGGATCCTTATAAAAATGGTGAGTATTTCATCTTTGCTTTTTACAGTCTTTTTTAATGATAATTATTTTTTTCAATTAATTCACGATTCAAAATACCTTTTCATGATACTAATTCTTTTTCATGTCTAGAATTATTACCATTGCAATACATATACAGAACAAGAGATAAAATATGGGACTTTTACGAGGTAATTATTATTTTTAATTATCACATTTTTATGGAAACTAACATCCAGATAGTGTTTGAACCTACTCAAGAGTTCACAAAAAAAAACTTTTAAAAATGATGAATGCATTATTATTATTATTTATTATTATACATGTTTCTGCAGATGTTCTCAGAGCCTTCCAGTAAACAGTTGCTTCCAGATCCTCTCCAGGAACCATACTACCAGCCTCCATATACTCTTATAATAGAAATGACAGATATCTTGGTTCACCCAGAGTATGATGTATGTATATTGCTCTTATACTTACAGTCATTAAAATCATAATAATAATAATAATAATAATAAATAGTATTTATATAGCGCAAAATATCCACCAGGTTCTGATGCGCTTTACAAAATTGAATATAGAAAAATTCAATACTATTATAAAAATTTATGAAAAAAGATATAAAAAAGATATATAAAAAAGGTTTATTTGAAAAAGAATTTAAATATGTACACTGTTTAATTATGAATATATACTTTTTTTTTTGCATAATACACAAATACAATAATAATGATTTTATCATAAAACTTCATAAAATCATCAACATTGTTCACTTATAAAGACATAAAGACAACAACAAAAGTCATTTGCATGATTAAAAAGAACATTTGTGAGAAGTACTTTAGCTTATAACTCCATATAAATAATGAATTCAATATAATATAAATAATATAATAATGAATTCAATATTTTTTGACATTGTAATGAACTTTTGCAACTTATTGTTGAATATTGTTGCAAAGATTTAAAAAAATATGATACATTGCTGTCTTCATGTCTTTACAACTGAACAACATGGGGTTGACTTCATGATATCCTTTATGACATTGTGATTGATGTTTTAAATGGTGTCACTAACCATACACATAGCTCTCTTTCATAGAATGAATTTTCTCTCTGACAAAAAGTCTATTTTTGTTGCTACTCTCTGAAGTAGCCCAAGTAAAACTCTCTACAAGCTTCAACATATCCTAGATATGTTTTCGTGAATCTATGAGTACTTCTGTTTATCTATGTCAATGATTGTCATCTTTCAGAGGAAAAGTGGCTGGAGATTTCGTAAAAGACCTGGACTTGACTACTTCCTATCTCAACTATCTACTCCATTATTTGAAATTGTTATTTTTACCCATGAAGTTGGTTTTGTAAGTATCAATTATTTTGAAATACTGTACATTCAATGATTTACATTTTTGTTTTGTAACAGCTCACTTTAAATAATTATATTGAATGGAATTGGATTCAATGAATTTTAATGATGTGTAGATGTTATTTGTAGCGGTAAAATTCAGAAAAAAAATGTTACCTGCCATTTTAACATACTGCTTATGGCAAAGTCTTCTTCACAGGTTGTTGAATTGTCTGGTAATATTATAATTAAAAGACTGTATTTTGTAAGACTTGTTTTGCACCCAAATGAACAACATACAACACCTTCTTTCACTACACTTGGATTAAGACTGAGTTAATTGTTATTTTTCTATTAGTTAATAATAACTGGGTTATTTTTCAGAGTGCTTCACCAGTAATTGATGGCTTCGATCCAAATGGAATGATCATGTACAGGCTCTTTAGGGATGCCACCAAATATGTCAATGGAACCCACGTCAAGGTTAGATGTAAAAATATTCAAGCCACCAGTTGTTTTCCTAAAATAATATAATTTGTCATGGACCTATGCTTGACTGAGTGGTTGTTTATGATGATGGATTTATCTTAATTCAAAATGGGCAGACAACTAAAAATAGTACCACAGGCACCAAAATTATAATTATTAGTGACCTTGGTTGGCTGAATTTAATTTGTCCATTGAGTTGTTGTTGTGAACCTGTTCAACAGAATTCAAAATAACGTTCAGCAAGTATTTTGGACAATGAATGTGTACAGTTCTAAGGACATTGATTGTTCACAAAGCTGTATGTAGGAAATAAGTCATCTTGAATGGAAATAAAGGCCTTGTTTGAATCAATGTTTATATGTGATGGTTATTTGAAGATTATCAAAGTATTAATTGTTAGGATTTGAAGAAATCAGTTGAGAAATGTCTGGAAATTGTAGGACACAAGTCATTTTTAAAGAAAATAAGGGACTTGATCAAATAAATGTTTAAATATGTGATGTTGATTTGAAGAGAATAAAAGTGTTACCAGTTAGCATTTCAAGGAACCAATTGGCAAATGTCTGGAAATTATCAACATTACTAATAACACTCTGAAAGGTACCATGAATTGTTTGTTAGGATTTGGAAGGGATCAACAGAGATTTAAAGAAAGTCATTGTGGTTGACTGCAGTAAARAAGCTGCCCAGTACCACCAATCAAATGCCATCATTTTAAAGAAATGGGAAGGTGACCCTAAAGACACAACACTTTTTGACTTGGTACCTTTGTTACAAAGTAAGTACAAAACAGGGTAATAATGCTTTAAAGTGCGAAACATCAGTTAGTTATTTCACCTACTTTTTTACGGTGCTAACTTTATCTTTTTACATAACTGTTTTCGATGCAGCTCACACTAGTTTACCACTAGTTCCCACCATTTTTACTAAAGCTTTAGACCAGACTTCTCGCTAGCAAGAATAATGAATTTTTGAATTAATAGTGTTGAGAGAGCACTGTTTTATTTGGCAACGGATGGACTTGTGCACAGACCTTACCAAACGCAAAAGGAAGCACAAAAAATGTTGTTATTTGGTTTGGTTCAAAAAATGTATTGCAACCTAATCAATAGAAAGATTTGAAGTAGAAAGTACAAAATGAATTTAAGATTGAAAGAGGAAACCAAAAATGGTGGGAACTAGCGGTAAACTACTGTAAGCTGCGTCGGTGGTTCTAAAGAAACGGTTGTAAAAAGAGTAGGTGAAATAACAAACCCATTCCAATGTCGTTTAATCAGCAAATATGAATGGAGTTTAGAGACATGGGGGCTGTGAAAATTATCAGTTTTCTTGTTGTGATTGATCTGCAAATTTGTAATAAAGTGATATCAATATTTGATCTTTCGTTTAGCTATCGCCACTTCCAATGTTGAGGATGTACGGACAGTGCTAGATTTCTACCGCGATGAAGAAGACATAGTTGCTGCTTTCAAAAGAAACCAAGAAAGACTTCGAAAAGTTGAGGAAGAAAAGCGAGCACAGTCAGCAAACCAGTCACAGTCGTCGCAATGGTCGGGTTTATTTGGTCGTGGTCTGTTTGGAAAATCAAAATGTAAGTTATTTGAGTTTGTTATATTTTCCTTTACATATCAAAATTCTTTTGTTCCTATGTGTATAAAAAAAACACACAGTAAAACGACTTCTTAATACTGGTCTACCATCTTGAGTCCTTGAGCAAGTAGCCTGTCAGTCAGGGAGGGGAGTGGAAAGTGAATCTCTTCCTTACCCCTTTCCAGCTCCCACCTCTGAAACTCCCGATTTGAAATGACTTGGTACTCAGGCCATTGACTAAGACCTTCAATATTTATCCGGCTGTTTTACTTATAAACATTCTATATAATAATATTTTCTGGGGGTAAAATTCTGGACGTCAAATAATTAGTCTGTGTACATCTCTTTTTACAATTCGAGGGCAAAAAAACACCTCATCAACCTTTTTATCAATTTTCAGAAGCGTCAACTCAAAGGCAAAGAATACGAAAATGAATACTACGTGGACTTGACTTAATTATGACGTCTTAGAAGCTTTACCTTTTAAGAAACAGTGATAAACTCTTGGTACAAATGCAAAACGGGACGGAGAAAGTTTAAAAGGCAACTGCGTGAACTAAAGGAAAAGAATTGAAAAAAACGTTCAATTGTTGTCGGCTGCAGCTTTTACAATATCACTACTTGACAAAATGAAAAGCATATGAAGTTGCTTTCAACCGCTCAATCTTGAAAACTTTGACAATACTACGCCATTGTAATGTAAGATTTGCTAAAGCTGGAAACTACATCACGGCTTTAGAGTGTACTAAAAAAACAAGATGGCGGACTAGTCAAACAAAACTACACCGAAAGAAAAAGTTAAGTTTGATAAAGCACTTTGGACTGTTTATAGGCTGCATGGAATAGGTCAAATAAAACTCTTTTGTTTATACCGGTTTGAAAAACATGTTTCGATAATGATAAAGGACACGCCCTTTACGTTTATTAATAAAATACACAAAGGGGGAATAACAAAGCGTTTGTAGTCAATATCCATGATAAATCCAGTCAAAACCTTACTATAATAAAAAGGCTTAGTTTTACAACATTTTCAAAGCAAATCGATTATTATGCCCTTTGGATTGAATTTTCAGAATTAGCTTAAATGCTGTAGAGTGGTATTGCTCCAACTGAACAAAATCGACTATTTCGTGGAAGTCGATAGTGAGCCAATAAAAGAAAATTGAATTCGATGACCTATACTTGTTGTACTAATGTACTATATTCTTTTGTCTATTCTTTATTCTTTCACTGTCACTGTTCAAGGAAAGCGACTCAAGGGGTTTTTTCCCGTCAGTGCTCGGTACCCACAATGATTTTCGGTCATATGACCAACTATTTTCTCACTAGCAGGCGTTTTTAATATGGTTTATGTTATAATGTCTAGACCTTTTGGAAATGAACGCTACATGAAGTTAGTTTGTCCATTGTTTAATGGTACACTTTGTTCTTAGTCACTCTATTGATGTCATCATAGAGAGATTTGCAATATTTAAATAATACATAATTCTGCTCTCTAACCATAAAATATTTTGAATCTCCGGCAAAAACGTACGTGCGTTAGTGCATCGAAAATTTGAATATGTACTTACGATTGTCATCTCTAATTGGCTAAACAACAACTGGCAATTCTTGATATTGATATGTTTGAGTTTAAGGGGTGTAGTAGCGGTGTAGCTATCAACTCAAGTGGTATCGTGTTTAAAATACACCCAACCGTTAATTGTCTAGGTTTGCTAGAGAACAAAGATTAAAGACGTCGAAAGCTTAAACAACATTGAAAAAGGAACTTATTAGACTCTAAAACATTTGTGTCACCCACTCGCTGGAGACGGATTCGAACCGGGACGCCGATCATATGACGTCCTTGCCTTTCATTTGAATTTCTGAAGATTCGTATGCTAGAAATAACATGGAATTTGAGCCCACACCAGGATTTTAAAATAGACTAAATTTCCATACCACAGTGGTTTTCATAAATCCGTGAAATAAGTGTAATAGTCAAAGACACCAATCAGACAAAGAAAAGCGTACCCAATGAAGGGTAAGAAAGAATAGGTACGCAGAAGTGTATTTCTCGTCCATATAATCGTCCAAGTTGCCCCAAAGCATTATTTATATTGTTGTTATATAACGCCCTCGAGGGAAACTACAAGAGTGCAGAAACGCGTTTTGGGGCGATTCGGACGATTATATGAACACAAGACGTAATGAAAGTCATTCCAAAAGCGCTAAGTGTTTTCCATTAGAAGCATAGAGTACATATTCTCTCTTAATGAGGTCGGCAACATTCTGTAGTCCTTGCGATCGAGAGCTTTTTAATTCTGAGTGATGGCTTACCGCGCTTAGTGTAGAACATCTACGCAAAAACACTTCCAATATCATGAGAACGTTTAAATTTTATTGAATTCTTATTAAGACTTCGTTGGAATCGAGATGACGTGGTGACGCGAATGAAGATACGGCAACTCTTTGGAAAGTGTCTTCTGAGCTTGCAAAACTCTATGAATCAATTAAGCCAAAAATAGTAGTTTGGACTGTAACAGAAAGTTAAAATTATTTTCGTTTGCGTTGTTTCAAGGTGTTCTACGGAACTGTACGTCTTGAACTAAATAAAGCCGGAAGTAACCTCGACTTTCGAAAATGCTTTCTTCCTCGCTGCTCGCTACCAAGCATATTGGGTCTGTATTGCACAACGCCTTGATCCTTCCTTTTAGTTCAAAAGACACATGCTGTCATCTTTATAACAGGTATATTTAGCTTTGGCTCCATGTAGTCTAGAAGCACTTGATAGACAACTTAAATGCTTGGCTTTGATAAAAACATCATCTATAAATATTGCATGGTAAATCGTCAAGAAAATAGAAAATTAGACAGAAATCACGGATCCCATTCGTCCAAAAATTCTTGTTGTGTCTTTTTTTCGATCTTCTTTATCTTTTTAGTCAACCAATTCTTATGTTTAATTAAATGGAATAGACGAAGATATTTTAGTAATTTCATATTCGATTTTTTATTCATTCGACTCATGCTGGTATATTAATATATTACGCGTAGTCAATGTCAATAGTTACGTTGCTAATAGTTACAACCGATCGATGAATCATACTTCTTCTCGTCATATACTCCTACACTTGCTACTTCTAGTCGACATCACGCACGCTAACGATGAGCAGAGCTGCAACTATGCAAGCTGCAAAGCCAACCAACACTAGCTCAAGCTTGGAAACCTTGCCACRCCGTAAATAAACCTTGAAGCATTAATAACGGTAAGTTTAAGATCAAAAACTATTAATCGTAACAAAGTATCATTGTCCGTGAGTGAATGCTAAATAATCATTGATATTTCGTTGCTTTAAGCCTCTTTAACTGTCTAAATACAATGACAAATGACCTAACTAGGGGAGGGCTAAGTGACTGGATGTCGATAAGCATTCGAAGAACTAAGAGTGTGGATCGATGTTTTTCCATAGTGAATGTACTTTAACATGATTAATGGGTCGTTATTTGAAATATATCGTGGGAAAACTCTAGCATGTCCTAAAAAACGAATTTCTACATTATTTTAAGTGAATTTTAACAAAGTACAAACAAATTATTTACGAAACAGTTCTGTAGAGTTTGCTCAAAGTGACCGCACGTCCTCCACAAACGATATTTCAAACTTTTTAAGGTGTTTGATAAGAAATATTTGCGGTTTCTATAGTAACTATGTAAACTACAATATCTGCGGTATGAAGACAGAAGTTCTTACGATGATAAAGTATAATTTAAGGAAACATTTTTTTGTTCTTGAATTTGCTATTAACTTCATTATTTCACATCGTTAATGGCTCAAATTGTGTTAGTCCAACGTCATTAGTTCTAGTTCCCCCTCTGTTTTTCCCATGTGTTCGTTACAGACGGGAGTGTCGTGAAGCGATAGTCACAATCGTTGCGGTTAACCCTGGAACCCACGAATTGGTCGTGTCCTTGTTATGTTGAGTTATGTTGATATACGCATCGATCTGTCCACCTGTCGAAACGTAGTCACTCTCCATTCGATTTGTCACGAATATATTTTACAACCCGACTTCATCTGTACATGACTACTAGGCCTGACATCTAAAAGTTCCATGATGATTTTCTTGGCGATTCAGCGTCAACTTTTTAATACTTGATGCAATAAATCGCTCGACTAGTTCCGCAAACGACATTATTTTGGTTACCAATGTGGGCTTTTGTGTTCGTTGCTTGCATTCTGCAGGTAAGAATAACTAGATATTACACTAAAAGCATACTAATTTAACTTAATTTTATTCCAAACGATGCTAAATATATTTGATATTATAAATATAAATTGCCTTGGTAATGTTCGCTAAAGCTGGTTTATCCCAGCTTATGAATTTTTCAGCCGAAAAAAGTGTGTCGTAATCGAGAAGAATTCTGGAATTGAGCTCATGCAGAGACGTATAATGTCAAACAGACCGCATATTAAACAAACTGCAAACAAAATGAAAAGTTAAAATAAACTTATTGTTAAAGTAATTCCGATACTGTATGAATGTTATAATGCATTTGTTTCAGAAAATACTAAAACAGACGGTTTATACACGACGCGTAATAGCTTTAGAGTAAACGAAACGTAAAAAAAGATTTAAATTGCTGTAAAACAAAGACTTCAAAGGCATTTTCTTCTTATATTTTTTTTTTCTATTTTATGACTTAGTTCCGTCAATATGGACCTTGTATACTAGAATTCAAAAGAAGTTAGTTTTCCATAGATAAACGTATGCGTAAAACGCACTTGGGTCTTTGCCAGGTTTTATCAATGGGTTATACTGAACTACGAGCTATTAATGGCTCCCTTACGCAATTTATTGCCGTGTTTGACGAATAGTTTTTTACGGTAAAGAACCAAAGGCAAAGCCAAAAGCCTTAGGCAAATATTTGTCAAAAATGAGATGATTAATTGCGAAGAAAGCAAACGAAAAAAGAATGAGAACGAACCATACTATAAATGCTACAATGATATGACTATCGCTTAGTTACCGAGGGCTTTCTTGTTTTTTTATTTTTTATTTTGGATATTGTTTTATTTTTTCACTTTTTCTAGATAGGAAATAAACCCTTTTGGTAATTGTATTATATGACAAACCTTTTGAAAAAATAAAGACACGTGTTAATTAGGAGGAAACTATTCTCGAGCAGCTCCGTTTTGAAATGATATTACAAGACATGCTAATTAGAATGAAATATCAATTCATTTATGAATATACTTTAACAACCAAACGGATACTTCCGTGTTTTTCTAGTTAAATGTTAAATAAAAAAGCAAGAACTTCGTAATTTTCGTCATTGTTATTGTATTTTCAAATTATTTTATTTTTTCACTTTTTCAATATTATTTATTTGTATTTTTTTAAAGTTCCAGACAATAGTGCTTTACTTTCTAATCTATTTTATTTCATCGTATGATAGAGTGCAAACACACTTAAGGCGTGAAAAAGTACGAACCAAATAGTACTAAAATAGCGCAATATAATGAGATTGAGACAGTAGAAAAGAAAGGAATTCAATATGAAACCCATGAAAAAATATCTAATTCAGATAGACACAAAAAAAAAATGCAATTAGAGCGTAATAAATTGTATTAGTCTAGCATCTATTCCACGGTTTTTTTTAATTTCGCTCTATTTCTTTGAATTCAGTAAAATTTAGAACTATCTAATTACTCAAAATTTTCATGGTTTTAGTATTTGAACTATGTGTAATTTCAAAGAGTGCATTATTATTCAATCATGTCTTGTGTTCTTTTTTTTCTAGATTAAGTTCTAAATTAAATTTAAATTAAATTCTAGATTAAATTTTTCATGGAAATACAACCCAGTTTCATATCCCAATATTTTTGTTAGAAATATTATTATTGAAAATAGGTTTTGGCAACGACTTACTTTAATCAATTTTTCCAGACTTCTTTCCAATTTCCCAACTCAGTCAACTGAACTGATACACGTCACATCGTCCTGTATGTTGGATGTTTGTGGGATATGCAATTTGTGGCTTGATTCTTGTGCAGGCAAAACTCCACTACTATATAACTTTGTTATCAAACTCTTTTCAGTAATTATTGGAGATTTGTTCATATGCAATTTCCAACTTTATGGAAAGAATTCTTTTGTAAACATGGTCCATGGTTTGCAATCATCGAGCTAGGAATTCTTTTCAAAATTCCTGCTGGCGATAATAAGACGATATAAAAAGTGTGTTGCAAAATATATACGTGGTGTAACGACGCACATGGCTCACGAGCAAATCTCTAGTATTAATCACATAGTATTAATTCGATCAAGATTACATGCCAGATTGTTTATTTGTTTGGGAAGAAATTGTGTCACATAGTACAGTGTGTGCAAACAAGGGCTAACACCAATTTAATAAGAATAATGATGATTAATGTTTACTAGAGTTTTTATAAACAAATTTTAAATTTTGGCAGACAGTAGAACAATCAACCTGCCGGCAGCACTAGATTTGTGAATTGGCTCTATAACTCGAAACGTAGTGACTGTTGCAAGCTTTTAACCATAAAGCAGGTTACGCGTCACTGATCAAAGAAAGAGGCGTTTTCGTATGAGAAGGAACGATAGGCAAAAACACTCAGGAAATGGCGCGGTAAGTTTCCCTTTCGTACGAAAACGACTTTAAAATGTCATAATGTCAAAATCACACTGCCAAGTCGCACGAATCCCTCCAGCAATTTGGCAATAGAACCCTGTATTTACCTTTTCGTCTAGAAGGACGGAATTCCAATTTTGGCACATGAATGAATAATCCATTCTTTCAACTGATCTGAAGTTGGTAAATCTGAGAAGATTGGACTTGATTCCGTCTTCTGCTAAACTATATGTGTTCTTGTTTAGAAAGTGTTACGGTTGATGTTCAGGGCCTTCTGTCTGGATATGTCAAATATCACGAAATGTCCAATGCTCTTTCGAAGTCAAACTTCAAAATTATCCTTTGAACCGATGAATTTAGTGAATTTCCGTTTGTGGAACCAAAGTGGAGGAAGCATTTCAACTGTATATTGCAAAAAAAATCCTGCTTTTTGTTTAGAGTTTCTTTTATGTTGTTTTTCCATAAGATTTCCTTAGCTTTAGGTTTGTCGTAGGCTTTCTTATCAGATATTGATGAAGTTCTTTGTTCGACCATTTTTCGTCGTTTCGCGACTGTGAAATTCTAAAACCTCTTCATGGACTGCCACCTCGTGTATGACCAATGCGATTGAGCTTTTAGTTTTCGCTGTGTTTGTCCACGCTCATTCAACAAAGCAAATGTTTCGTAGTCTTAGCTTCCTCATCAATTGAAGAAAGTTCCTTTTACCTTTCAGAAATCTCTGGCTAATAATCCCATTACTTGTGTTGCGTCTTGCACTGTAGGGCTTCATATTTTACGTGAATGAATGGTTGTGTAACTAGAAGCCTTTGTAACTAAAACCACTTAAAAGTATCATCCACGTTCTCACGCAAAACCACTAGCATTAATTAAGAGCTCTCATCGGGTGGTATGTGGCAATTAACTCCTAGTATTTAGTCAAAAACAAAGGCATTTTACAACTAAAACCATGACGGCGGAAATTTCATTCGTTGACGGACCGTAATCTCCAAGAAAAATCAATTTTTATTTACTCAAGACTCATTATGTCTGCGGTTTTTCTGGCGCTAAAAATGGACCTGAATTTAATTGCTGTGGATATACAATTACCTAGTTAATTTTGAGGAGTAAATTCGTTCATTGTCTTTTCAATGCTGGAGAGTACTGAACGTCATCCACTACCATTGGTACCCTGTCTGGCAGGTAATGATATAATCCTTCTTTCTTGATTAATTTTGACTAATTTAGAGTGGTTTATCGATGGGTTTCAATGAACGTGTCTAAAGATTTGAGAATAATTTGGTGTTTTAAGTAAATACGAAACAAAAAAAGCCCATTTTGAGTTATTGACAAGGTGGGTGACAATGACACGAGCTAGAAGCGTGACTATGCAGGGATGAAGTGATTGCTCTTTTTTACACGGTCGCACTGTGAATTGCAGCCTAGTGTTTAGTGGTGACACGCTCCTGCTGATTTACTGATTCTATAAGCTTGTTATTATTCAAATAACTTTGCAGTAAAGGCGCTGTTTTCTTACTCATTTGCTGCCGTACTTCAGTCTAATGCAAATGATCAAAAACAAACGTTTATTTTTCCGGTATCATTTGCCATTTCCTTTATTGAGCACATGGCAATTGACAGCTACCAATTGACTACCATGAAAGGGGTGTTTACACATGACTGACTGCGATTGCAAATTTTATAATTCGTAAATACTAGTTTTGCTGGCGTACTTCTCGACCCATGCCCCTTCTTCCAATCTCTGCATGACTGTACCCTGGCACAAGACGTATCGTGCTTCGTAAACAAACAGCTAGTCTTACTTGTATTGATCAAGCACTTCAAGAAAGTTGTTCCAACTGTTTGACAGTCCGATGCTCGTTCGATGTTTTGGGAGCTGAGGGGCGGGAATCAGGCTTGTGGGAGTGAGTTGTATTTGTGGATTGGGTATATAATATTGGTCAATACTTCAGGCATTGTTAAGCCTTCAAATAGGTCAGGTGGATGTCTTTGTTTGTGATCACATCTTCTTATCGGCCACATGGTCAAAACAATAGACGGCTTTTGTCAGTTTTGTAAATAGAATTCCATCATCTTCGAAGCAGTTTCTGGATATCTATCGTGATAGCATGAAGTCTACTGGCAAAAAACGGACGCAAAGTGTTCTACCAATTATATTTAACACTCCCAGAAGCATTTAATGGCGATTATCGCAACTTAACCACACGTGTATGAGCCCGCGAGCATTCTGGTCTTCGTCATCAGCCACGTGAAGCGGGCTTTACCAGTACGGGTTGAACGAGAAGTTGTTCCCTGGGAAACACTGAGAATCTGTGAGCTGTTTAYCATGCATGGAAAGAAAAATGGAGATCTCATTTTGTTGTTGAAGAATTTCTAATTGTGGCCTTGTCCATGATGAGCAGATGCCTCTCCTTGTAAGTACTCACCTTTTTTACCGCTTTTCTTCCAGCCAAAAACTGCGGCTTTAACAACGGTCCTCTTTACCCGTGAATTACAAATAGTACTTGAATTTGGATTCGAATTAGAAAGAAGTATTGCGTAGAGCGTCGACCCAATTTTTAAAGCAAAATTTCGATCATTTGAATTGGCAACAATGCAGAACTGCTTTTTCTAGTGGCAAACACCTTGGATAAAATTATGAGAGCGACTAATCTTTACTGTCACGTACTGAAGATTCACTCCTACTTCGATTTGTATTCATAATTCATCCCTCTTTCATAAGCAGAATTTTCGTCCAAATGAATTCACTGATATGTTATGAATAATAGAGTTTAATTAAGGATTGGATCGTTATTCTCGGTGCGCTGGATAAGGGTTTATTATTAGTTTTATGCAGGGGTATTAGTTCTTTTGGTTCACTGTTATTGGTAACTCTGTGACTACTATCTAGTATCGACAAGACATGTCGGGTACCGGCAAAAAACAAAAACAAAAACAACCTACGACAAAATAGGCAAAAAACAACTCGAAAAAAACGACAGCGTTTCGTTAGCAAAAAATATTTCACATTTGTTGATTTAAATATTGCTTCGCTGATTAGCCAACAAGAACTTCAAGGGCCGTAAACGTTACTAGAGTCGCATGAATGCTTTTGGTTATTTTTTCTCGTAGTTTATGCTTTAGTAGAGCTACTCCTGTTACGCATTTCAGACGTTTTTTGATCTAGAATGTAGATAACTTACGTTTATACTAATTCAAGCGTCGGGTGCGTTTGTAGTTTTTTTTAAGGATATTTCCTATTTAGTGTCATTTTTCATTCGTTTTTATTCTTGTACAATGTTCTTGAGAGCCGTTAAATTTCTTTTTTCTTGATAGAGTAAGTTAAGGTAGAATAGATTTTCATAAGTGATTCACATTATAATTTCTAACGTAGAGAAAGCGCGACCAAATGAGAGAGACGGGAAAATTTGCATATTCATTTTCAGCTGTCGCATAATGTTATTTAGAGGCTGGAAACATGTTCCAATGCTGAAAAACCCTGGACATTTATTGCAGCAGTTGTTATCAGGAGCACATAGATGCTTTTTGAAGTAATCAATAGCTGGAGTTCAGAGAAAGGAGCTACAGCCTACCTATCTATAGTGCGTTCACCTTGGGAAAATATTAATAATACAAACATAACCAACACATTGTTTTTCATCAAAATATTGGCTTGCTTTTTATCCTCAATCAATTATTAAAACCCGCCAAAATTATGTACAAGAACGTTGGCGTACATTCTGCAAATGTAACCTAGCTTTAAAATTCCATTATGAGATAGGGTTATATATAGAGAGAGTATGTGTAAGTCAAGACAACGCCATTATACATTGCTATATGGCATTGCGTGCTGAGATCCTGTCTCCTGCCGTTCACTAAGAATATACTGACTCGACCTCATCTTCGTGCATAGAAGACCGGGTCACTGTATTTGCAGCATAAAATAGTTTCCGTATCTGAAGTCTTTCCTATGTACTTTTAAATCAGTTTTTTATAAGAGATCAGTTTTTTTTATTCATGAGAGACTTCCATCATGGCAGTCTTCGAATCATAACTTTTTTTATCGATTTGAAGCTATCGATAGTTTAAATCAGCTAATGCTTTTATCGAAAGTTTTGAGATACCGTACCCGTGCAGAATTGACCATGACCTTCTTACCTATTTAGAATTCTATTTTCATTTTTGTTTTGTATTATTTTTTAACAAAAATGACAAAACCGTTTTAGTAAGTTATGTCTGCAATTAGACGTCTCAGTGTAGTGATTTGGTTTTGTGGAAGTGATGTTTTGATTCAAAAACTAGACCACTTATGCTTCTTTGAATTGTTATTGAACTATTCTGATTTTTCAGAAAAATTCAATAACATGCAATCTGATCATTGTTTTTGAAAAGACAGAAGGCTGCATCAAAAATGACCCACAGTTAATGACTATAATATGTCGCAACCTTTTTCAGTGATTAATCGACAAATAACCGCCACAAAACACGTTTCTGTATTTGAATCCAACCTCTTTGGCTTGGATAACATGATATTTTGTGAGTAAGTTATTACTAAAATTCGGCTTTTAAGACTTTATTTGCGAGGTCAGCTGCAATACCAAGTTTTTTAAAAGTCCATAATGTTGTAATCGCCTTAACCTAGGGGGTAGCTATGAAATTTGTTTTGTTATCTATTGAAATAACAGATCTTTGCTCTCAGCTTTGTATACTGCATGGACCCCAGTGCTAATTGTTCGCAAGCTTTCATCACCTCGGGTCTTTGGACACCAGTATTTGAAAAGCTTTTGTTCATAATATTTCTAAAAAATTGCATCTTCGTATGAGAATTTAACTATAGTGGAGGTGTAGTGTTTGTGGTTTAATCCGCGGTCAAAGACGGTGTATATTGTAGTTTGGAATCAAAGCAGAACTATACGTCTTTTACCTCCCAATGCTGTACAATCTGTAGAATTGGAATCGGTAGAAAATGTGAATAAATAGGCTTATTAATTAAAAGCGAAAACTTCAGCTTAATTTTTTACTTTCGCAATACAATAAAGGGGATTGTGTTTACGTAGTTTAGGTTGGTTCACTATAAGGCCAGTTCTCGTACAACGAGTGGTACCTGGTCAATCATAGAAAGCACTATGAATATTCCACGCAGGTGCACTTGACTGAGAGTTACTTTCGCGTACATTACAAAATGATTATGAAGTCTACTAAGTTAGTAATTACATCTTGCTTGTTACATCGAGTGCTTTATTTGCAAAAGGTGTGCGTGCTTTTCCAGAAGTCTTCTAAACTTCCAGATTTCAGGATTTCTGCTTTTATCTCTCTTTTTTTGGTTAACAATTCATATTTAATTGGGCCAATTCATACAGTTAAGGTTTGCAATTATTAGTCGCTAAATCCTACAAAACGATAAAAAATAAATTGAAAAACTAGTGAATTACTGCTAGAGATCGTTGTCACCTCATCATTTAGAAATAAGCAAAATATAAGTATATAGCAGTTTAAACGATTAGCTTTTTAAAAAAGTAATATATAAGGAGTTATTTTCATTAGTAGTAGTTGTCCGTGGGTGATCCCTATTCGATGCAAATCAGAATGGTTGTTGAGAGGTGACGGTTACTACTAACTACCAGATGTAACGAAGTAATTAGCAACTCATATCATGAAACAAGGCAGTTCTAACAGAGTTCCTTCATGATAAGCATCGTAACCATGCATGTACTAATTTTTCCTACGCTATTACAGCACTTAGGAAAGTTAATTTGGAACTCTTTCTTACGCCTACTGAACGTTGCTACTGAAAATGGCGGGAAAAAGTATCACGTGGTTTAATTTCCACGCGTCCGTAATTACCACCATGAAAGCATCAAAGCGCGCGGTACTTTTTTCGTATTTTGAAAGTTTCGTTCTTTAATTTCAGGTTTTAAATAGTTTGTGGTTTTCATGAGTGTTTTTATCTTGACTGCATGACAGCGCTTCATGAGATGTTGAAGTAAGCCCTAGTATTTTCCCACAGGTGGTTCCATTCTTACAACTATTGACGCATGTTGACAAGATTATCTCTTATTGTTTGGTCAAGACCTTTTTGTTTATGTTTTTCTTTGGATGTTTTTTGAATCTTAATTTGATTTTTATTTGTGCCTTTTCTATTAATTTGGATGCACTTTTGTAAAGGACTTTGCTTCATTACTATCTTAAAAAAGTAAAGCGATTTATACTAGTATTTGTTTGTGGAAATTGAGGTACTTTTTCTTATTGCTTTTGTCGGTTATTGTATGTTAATTTGTACATCAAGACATGATTATTTAGTACATCTCGTGTCCACAGCCTGGAAAGTTTACCATAAGCTAAAAGCCTGAAGTGAACGATGTTTTCGAAGTCTGTCTTTGAAAGCGAAGGTGAAGGGAACAACAATAGCCCCATGCCTTGAGCAGCCATTGTAAGGTGTTTACTTCCCAAGAGAGTTGAAGTGCGTCCTGGCGCGAGCATGGCATGTGATGTTATGGTTGAGTTGGTTAGAGTTTTATAGTCGGGTTATTACAATGTACAGTGTTAGCGAGGATTAAGGGATATCGGCTTTTAAACACTCACTTTTGTCGCTCGATTAATATGCAGAAACAACTTATGCAATTACAGCAATCTTGTAGGTAATTGCTACAACACGTGCACTGCCGCCATTTATTACAATGTGATCATTTGCAAAAACATTTGTGGAAGTAGTGCCAAGAAGTTTTGCAGGAATATGATCGAAGAAATATACTCAGTAGTGGCTGCAGCAACTGCAAAACAGTATTAAAATGCAGAAATTTTGCAGTAAAGTTACAGTGGATTCCTGTACAAGAAGCATTCGGCTAAAGCTGTGTAGTATAGAAAACAACATGGATTTAATGACCTAGAGTTACGGTAGTGTAAAAAAAGCAGCAGTCATCAAAAGCTAACGCCGAAATGCCAAAGTGCAGTTGTAGTTATAACAGACAGCATTATGTAATAATTGAAATGAAATAGGGTTTACTGTTTAATAGTTGCATTTAGCAAAAGTATTATTGTATCCCTAGCACCAATAGCAAGCTTAGGCTAAGGGCCATTTGAGTACACAGAAGTTCTTATTCCTCGACTGAGGAACATTGTAGTTGTAGCTGGAGCATCACTTCTCCTGATAAAGTCGGCTGCGTACTGAGTAACTCCATTTTAGCACCAACTACCGCAGGTGAAATATAGATTTTAAACAGTTGTTTTAGCAAAATGAAATAGTCCCTTATAAGACTCATGACTAAGGTTTCATCTTTTTCAATGAAGCTGTATTTATATGGGTTGACCAAGTGCAACCATCCAGTGTTCTATCACCAGTATGAGGTTTTTTTAGTCATGTTGTTGTGACTCACTTTCTTGAGGAAGCATATGGTTCCCATCTGCACATACCAAACAACGATATTAAAAGATGCTAGACATGGTGGTAGCGATGTTGTTAAAACAGCACTTGTTAATTTGAAGCGAGTAACTTCATTAGCAGCACAACATTTACAAATGGGTTGACAAAAGGTTTTACAAGACAAATGAATTATGGGATGTAGTCATCAACTTTGATTAGCACATCCTTCATTGATTACAATCCTTTAGACATAATCTTAAGATGTGACCATCTAATCAAAATATCAACCAAAGATAAAAATCGTATTGCCATCTGGAAATGACGAGCTTTGGTCATGCAGTCGGCTATCTAAGCCTTCGGCACGCAATTTGTGCGTTTAAGGTCATAAACAAGAGATTTCCAGTTGCGACCAACATTGATAGGCTTACTAATTTGACACTGTTATCAGTATTTTCCATAAAGAGTGCAATATAGTGGTAATAAATACTGTAATTGACCAACAGCGACTAGACAGATAGTCATCTTTATGGCTTAGAAACAAAGCTCAAAGACCACGGCATCGGATCCGACCACTTTGCTTCATTGAAATCATCTCCTTTCCTTTGCTTGTACAGACATTGATAAAGACAGATTGGTCAGTCTGCAATAGAGACACCATTAGCCCCAAAGAAATATCAGTTTACGCGCTTTGTTTCGCACTGCATGATATTGTTTTGTAAAAGCTCCTCTCACAGGAAGGCTAACGAAGGCCTCGAGCAAGGAAATTTGCGTTATCAAAATGATATCTTAAGATAGGGGACAAAATACTATGAAAAGTGATCTATTAGATACAATGCAATATTGATGAACAGGCAAAGAAGTTAGCACTAAAATTAAAGTCTTACAAGGTTTATTAGTTTTCAAAATGTTTAGCAGTTTTCGATTTTGTTCCTCCAATTATTGTGTTTCAATACAGAGACTGATATGACAGTGAACATGGTTTGTAAGATAGGTACGCCCAAGCGCCATTATCTTATTTTGAAAATGATTGTCATTTCCTTGTATCTATTTATAGAATAAATGCCTCTGCAGGATTTTATTTTCATTCGTAACTGAAAAAAATAAGTCACGTGACAGCATATTTAAACGAAAATGACCTGTACCTGATCTTGTACATTATTTTGGGACTTTATAACATTTGCCCTGTGCTGTAAGAATGGGGGACGCAGGCTAAATTATTCAAGGTTAATTCTCGTTATTCTCAATAAATCAAAAACCAGGAAACGTTTCAGTGTTTAAACTCCATAACACTTTTTATCCACCAGCAGCTTGTTAGCCTTAATGATGATAGTTTGGGGGAAAGTCTCTTTTAAAGCAATGAATTAAACTGTTGGTCAAATAAGTTACAAATACGCCATTAACGGCTCAAGTCATCCATCATTCTAGAATCTCCGCACTAAAACGTTTTCATTCAGTGGCGATGTGTTTTAGTTGTTGAGAAACGGTTAAAACCGACAACTCCAACCGTAGATATGTACAGCAGAGAGATGTTTTTGTGGTATAAAAACAATACAGTTGCGACAAAGAAGCAAAACTGAATTGACTGACCTCGTTTAGACCCGTTTGACTTGTCAAAAGTACTCAGGTACATTTCTCAGAGACGTGCAGCTTGAGTCGTTTAGCAAACACATCTGACTTAATATTGACAAACATCTTGTGACCTAAAATCTTGCCGAAAGTACCAACAATCTTTTAAGTTATTGGAACGTCTGCATTTCTACTCTACAACGAGCCGTATTTAAAGGTTATCAGTGTGGCACGAGCCACTCGTGCCTGCCTTGTGGTCCGAATGTCAAATCCTTTTGTATTCTTTGGCGGGAAAATGTTCGACGCGTGCGCGCACGAACGATTTGGCGGGATAGTTCAGGAACAATTTGCTACAGTCAGATCATTAAGGAAATAGTTTATTCACTATATTACAGTGTGCTATCCGGAATATCCAAATGGTCATATCAGACATCACAAACAATTGCCCAGGTAATTTATACTCTGTGGTAAATCGGATTATTCTTATTTGACTTCGACCCTCCATCTGTCCTGTTGACTTTGCTAAGGTTTGTTTTTCTTACTTCAAAACTTTGGTCACCGTGTATTAATCTTAGATAAGGTATTTATATCTTAAGACCCTACTTGTGTTTTATTTCGTACTCCGAAAGCCGATATTCATCATCAAACTCCTGCAATCTACCACTATTTAGATATGTACTTTGTTGATAGCATCTAGTGGCATCTGATTGAGGGTTTTATCTTTGTCGCCCTTTACTTAAAGGATTTTAATTTGACGGATATGGTTGAAGTTAAACAAATAGAAGGTCTCCAAATACACTAGGTTCTTGAAAACTTTAATAACAATGCAAACTGTAACAATTGGTGCTTTCAATAGATGATTAATAAGGGCCGATAATGGTTGGTAATTCTATCCCGATTAATGCTAAACACCTTGTCTATTACGCTGCTATATGTCAGTAATTATTCAAGTTAGACTAGTGAATAGATCACTTTTGATTACAACTGCCGAGGAACTAGAAGAAAAAGACATAACTGTGCACACAAACTGCGCGCTACAAAAGACGGACAGAAACTCATGCATAGGAATGCGATGACGTCGCTCTCTGAACGGATTTGACACATTTGTCAAAGAAAACACCTTTGAAAGGTGTGTTTGGCTGACTCCTCCTTTATGGGCAGTAAGGATTGGCCGTAATCTTAGACCACATTTGGAGAGTGAAATTTGTCTAGACATCTGCTGTGAAGTCGAGTTGTTTTTGCAGTTTTCCAACTTATTGTGAGGCCCATGTGTTCATAAATGTACAAGATATCTTGGTGAGAGCGTGAAGGTGAGGTATTGTTGTCGATGAGTCTTGACAGTGATTTGATTTACACAAATATCCTTCTTGTCGTTCTAAATATTGATTCAACTAAGCCTTAACTAAACTAAATTCACTTCTACGCAAGACTAGTTATTTGCCAGTCCAAGAACAGTAGTATAGACTTTCCAAATAAGTGTACCATTTAGGAATGGAAGTATCTAAACCTGTACAAATACTGTACAACTTGCTTTGTTGTTTGAAGTTCTTCCAATGAATTCTCTGCATATTTCTTCTAGGCACTTTTATATAAAAACTGTTAATTGTCATGCATCTAACACCTTTTGCAAATCTCATTAATATATTAATTCCTTTTGGTATTGGGTCCTTAATACAATGCGTTGTGGTTTTCCTTGACAAAGGACATGGTCGCTTATCTTGTTTTCAGTTTGTGGGGACATGTTCTGCTAAACTTTGCCTCTCTTGGCTAACCAATCATTTCCCGTCTATTGTCCTGACAATAAGAACACGTACTATCTGAATAATTCAATTTTATATTTTAGAAAACTTTCTAGTCGTCCGGACAAGTCTGTACTGTTGAAACACATTGAACATTATAATATTGTTAAGCCATGGTGTATTATACACTAAAGCTTTAAGCCAATAAACAAGAAGTTTCCGTCCTTTTCCTTTGTACGGGTGGTCGAAATAAACCGAATATGTGTAGTTTCCTCGGCTTTGCGCTATTGGGATTTATTACAACTTCCTTCTTAATTCCGTCCTGCAAGACCTCCAAAAGATGGAGTGATCTCAATTGCAAGGAATGCACTGATGCCTTTAGAATCGTCTATTGCTTGGAATCGATAAGTTTTTTCACATATCAGTTCCATGTGGGTGGTAAGAGAACCAACTTACGTCATGAGCTAGAATAACAGACTCGTGCGACCAGAATAAACAATGACTTCTTAGTTATTTCGTCCATTTGTCATGCATTCCTAAGTCAAAAAAGAAGACACTCAACAGATCTCGAAATTTTGACCAATCGATTATATCACTTCGTTACCGTCATCGCCTATGATGTCTTTAGTTCGTTGAAGTAAAATTATGATGGATTGTTTGAGCAGTGGAAATGCAAACAAAAACAAATCTAGTTTCCTGACTTTTAAAAGAAAACACCCAGGAGATCTCGGAACAGCATTTGTTGAAAAGGCTTTTAAAAATCCATCGAAGGATTTCTTGTTTGCATTAGATCATTAGCCCTTGCTTGAACTTGTCAAATTGAGTGCTCGAAAACGTTCAGAAATGAATAGACGTCGTTCCTTTCGCTTTCACTATAGAATTTGGGAATTCCCTTATCTCTTGATAACTCTCTCTCGTCCTCGGTCTATTTGCGTTTGTTTATTGATTTTGTGGGAGAAATGCGGCTAACACCAACAATATTCTTATCCTTGTTCTTTATATGTTAGTCAAATAGCGATAAGAATGATATGCCTATCTTAGATATACACATCTGTTTCAGCGGGTATTTTTATCGTCTGTCTGTCTTTGTACCCATTACTCATCGGTCTGTCCGTCCACAAGTTAAGGGAAAAACTGAGGTCAGTGAGGTCATCAACAAAAGTTTTGTTTTCTACTGAGGCGAAAAAAGAACAGAGTCTATCATGTGGTCAAATAGTCACTGACTTATGTCTTTCAAAACTTATTAGCACCGTCATGTATAAATTATTTGACAACTCAACTCCCGTATATGTGAGGGGTCTTAACTTTAATAGTGAACTGGAAGTTATCAACAACAAAAAATCCCCTTACTCGGCAAAAAACCGTTGCTATGATCCTCTGTTCACACGCCGCTCATTCAACTGAAACCAGCTTGATGTAATAGCTAAGTATAGGGTCTCTTGACCTCTCGTCCATGAAACAGTAAATTTTTCTCACAGCTCAGCTCTGTAAACAGCTGATAGCAGGCAGAGAAAGACGACGCTGGTGTGCAAGTTCGCTTTATCTTGCACGTGGATTGGATCGTACTCGTTGGTGCTAGCACGCGCAACTTCAATTGAATTACTTCAATCAATAGCCTGTCATTTGAGCGATTGCAATGAAAGATTACTAGAAATCAAGTGATGTTTATTGGTACGGACAGTTTCTACGGGAACTGGCGACTGCTGCATGAACGTAGAGGCGATAATCTCACTACTCATTTACAATGTAGCTCCGAGAGATTACAGTAAATTCATTTTGGACACGAACCAAGTAAGTCTGTAAGGTTTGTTTTTTTTCTTCGAGAAGAAAACTCGCGTCAGTGCCTGAGGATGTCACTTGGACATGTCACAATCACAGCGGACGGGYTCTGTACATCAGTCCTATTATTATAATTTATGATAAGAAACGGTTTGAATACAATGTGAGTTATTTCATTCTTGGCTTGATAACGAGTCACACGCCGACTCATTTTTCCCGCATTTTTAGAAACAAAATTCACGCAAAAAAGTGACTACAGTGTGCGCGTCAGCGCGTATCACAATCCCACAGAACCTACTCGACCGATGTATTTCGTACATTCATCATACAACACTATACCGAATCATAACTATAGTTTTGAATTGCTTTAACAAATGTACAATGTACAAATGAACAACAGTGAGAATTTCACCAGTGTTGTTTCTGTTTTAGACCTTTTTATCAAAAACACCTTTTTTCAAACAGACGGGCCTTCTAGTCACTAGACAGTAGTTCAAACGATATAGGCAACCGTGACGATGTATACCATTTTGGATAAAAATGAATTAAAAGCATTATAAATCGAGCGATTATCGTGCGCACCTTGATTTGTTTTCGCCTATAATTTCCAACTTATTTCTCATGTATTTTAAATTACCAATTTCTGTCCTGAAATTCGATTTTTTATAATCTTTGATAAGAAACTCCTGTAACAAACTTTGCGTTTCACCGCAAAGGAAACCCTGTCAGTATGTTTGGAGACACTCTCCCCTAATTGAAGCAATTTTTAAAAGGATTGGTCTTCCGGTATGTCCGGATGGAGTCAATTCTATCAAACATAAACCGAGCTTGGTTCTATGGTAGTTTACATATTGTCTATCTTAAAAGCGAACGATGCCCGCGGGCCAGTCATATGGCGATCCGAATCTACCATACTTGTAAGTGTTTATTAATAGGCGTCTAGGGAAAACTGGAAGTATTTATTTTGTAATATGGTCTTGTATACAAGTCTGTGCATGTTAGTACATAGCAGCACTGCATGTCGTCCGATCGAGTGCTCTTTTCATCGTGGCCGAGTTTAGTAATGATAGACCGTTTAAGAGGTTAAACGGAGCTAGACTCTCTACGTTACGTCTATAACGGTAACATAGTGTTTACGATCGAGTCGATGTTTCTTTATCGCTTTCCGTTGTCAGCTGAACATACAGTTTTTCTTTGCTGCGGTTAATTTCTTAGATAACGTACTAGATAATAGACCCAAGGGAAATCTCCTCGCTAAGGGAACAATAACGCTATAATCTAAAGATCGAAGACTGTCACACAAGGTTAACAATCTGACATTTATTCTACAGTGTTACAAGGAGATCTTTAAAGAAAAACCCAGAGAGGTAGCTGGAGAACATAACAAGTAAGCTCGTCGTAGGCCCATGGTGCATACAGGACCAAGACTGTCTACGGTCATACCTTCTCTCCGTTATTTACTACTAGTTGCCAACTTATGTTTCCCTTATGTAAGTACAATCTGTCAAAATATTTGGCCAGTCTTGTTATCTTTATGTGTTTTGATTTGGGTATATAACACGTGTGATATCCTACGGGTGGTTTACTAACCGGGTTATCAGTATTGAAACTTCTATAACTCGTGTTTAACCCTCAGTATATATCGTTATTTGCTATTGGACCCTACTACTATTGATTATATTTATTAAGTTGTATTTGTGTGCTTTAGAGTGCGCGCTCTAAATCCTTGAAACATATACTAATTAGCACAAAATAACGCTAATTGGGCATTAGATAACAATGGAAACAATGGGTTTTAATAGTTCTTCACAGTGCCAGCACTCTACTGTTGAATTCGTCGTGCAATAATCTTACGTAATTCATCGCGGGAAATTTTTCTTCTGCACGGTTGAATTGCGTTTTGTAGAGTCATCAAATTTTGTTTTGACGTAACACTGAAATCCAGCTGGACTAATCTCATTTTCGGTCTGTTATTTTGACCAGCCGACGCAGGCTTGCCCGTGTTATCATATATACATTGTCATTTCCCACGTCCTTCAGGTTGGCTCGTTTCCCGTCCGAAATAAACTGAATTTAATACCATTTTTTTTACTGTAAAACGTATTGGTATATTCACTATAACCATATAAGAGCGTATTGCACTCACAGGAATTAAAGCATTTTTCCTGAATAGCTATCGTTTACAAGATATTTAGAGGAAGACCACCTCCGCCTTTGCTAAATTTGTTCAAAATGGTATTTCCGACGCACTTCTATATACCCCAGATGACGTCACAGTCAGTCTATATGGTGTATTCTTAGTGCAGAAGTGACTGTGGGTGGTTTAGGATGTTGTGTGGTGTAGTAGCTATAGTTTTATGTTTAACTCGAATTAAAGGCCTTCACGTACAGAGGACTAAGAGTACAACAGTGGAAACAGTCCAGGTAACGGCAGTAACAAGCAAAATGTAATGTATATTTATAGAAATATGGAATACATCCAATAATAGAGAGAAATCATGTACAAAAGTAGTGTACCATCTCTATTGGTACTTTTTCTAATTTCTATTATAGAAATATACTCAAAATGATGATCCATGGAAGTTTACCTTGAAGATTCTAAACATGGATTTACAATGTAACTCTGATAAACCTTTATATGTTTTCATATAACCAGGTTCACTTGCAAAAAGAGTGTGTTACCCTATAAACCACTTGGCGACAAGGCCTTGTCCATACTGATCCGTTTTCGTAGGGTTTTTTTTGTTGTTCACCGTCTCAAGGGAATGAATTCAATAGTCCAAGTTGTGGTATTTTATCAAGAAAAATGTAAAAAATTCCATGTTTATGTTAGTTGCAATTCTTTATTTATCTTAAATTCCGATATATGAAACAACAACGTGTGTTATCAATCGTTAAAAGTCTATCACTGGTCTCAAACCAGACCCTTTAAACCTAATATATCATTCGCAATTGAATTAGCGTTCCTCATCCCGGATAAACACCGAGATTTGTTAAATGATAGACTTGCATTGCAGATAATCGCCCCTAGGAAATCTCTTTAGTAGCACATCTCTCGCTATCTTGTGCCTTAGGCCTAATGAACAGTTGACTATTTCCAGGTGTGTTAGTGTATGCTTATCGGGTCGTTATCTCTACATATCCACTCCTTAATCCGTTGGATTGTCGTGCTCGTATGTGCAGTATCTTGGTTGACTCAGACGGAGCTGAAAATATCATCGTTTATCTTGAATTCAGTTTCCGATTAAGTCTGGTATAGCTGACAGGAGTGTTGGGATATTGAATAGCTTGTATTGAAAACCGACCGCTCGCTGTAAAAGGCAGTCGTAGCTTGTTGGTTTTGATTATGCGCAAGGAAAATTGATCAGAATCTTTTTTTCAATTTGAACAAATAACTATTTTTGAATGTTTGTGAATAAAAGCAACTTATATACATATATTACAAGTTTAGTGACTTTACCATAGTTTGTGGCAATTTGACTACAGACAGTAGAGGTCGCGGATAGTATTTTTAACTCTAGATATGGATTTAATTGCGTTAAATGAATTAATTTGCGTGTTTTGTCATTACAATCTTTGATGTACGAACAGTCGAGATGACAGAAAAACGMACTTCGATAAACAAGTTATGAATTTAAAAAAAAAATCACAATCGACTGTGACGTCACATATGGGGATTCCATCCGCGATGCCTGAGGTCCGGAACAGATCGTCGAGTCACTGGGTGCATAGGTGGAACCGTTCGTCTCGTCCATCTATGGTAGTGGTATTTTGAATGTTTCCGAATGGGATATGTATTGCTATTCCGGAATTAATCAGGTCTGTTCATGCAAGAAGCAAAATAAGAACTTGTGAATGAAATGGAAATTTTGCTTTTTTCATGCGCTCGCAAGTTGAAGAGCTTGATTGCGGGTGAAAGGTTTCTAACGGTGAAATTCAATGTCTTTTACGTATATTTCCAAACATTTTCACTAATTTGCAGACGATTTTTGCAGCCAAGATTTATTTTCATTCGCAGACAATGTTTCAGATGTCTTGACAGTATTTCGCTTTTATCTTCTGACACAGGGCACCTTACGATTACAATAACTTCCTCAATCTACGCCATCTCCACCCAGACTCTTCCGTGTTTAATCGAATTTATTTCACTTCCTATTTGACTCAGTTACCATTCACATTGCCCTGTGTTTAACCTTCATTATGAATCAGTACCAACACGCCCTTCACTAAAGGGCACTTTCTTGTTGTTGTTCAGGTTAAGAGCGTTCTTCCGGGCGATACTTTATGGCTCCTAATGAATTAAGAAGCCTCCGTAGTCTCGGACTTCACCGGTTTTCTGTTGCTCAGTTATTGTTGTATACCGATGACTGTGACCTATAACTACCAAAGGGATAAGGGCTGGGGACGAGGTTACAAACCTTACCTTACCAGATAATAAAATGGCGAAGTACAGATTTATTGTACTTGTACTTTGCTCATAAATCAATAAAGTCAAGGCACGCGCTTTTTAGTCCTTTTTGTGATATAATAATGGTTTTATTTTGTTTGTGTGGTTGTGGTGTTTTACTTGATCAATCCGGGGTTCATTTATTTCTTTACTTCTTTATTAATCAATCAGTCAACCAAACCATGCATGTTTTATGATTGTAGCCATATAATAACCTTGTTCTATTTTTCCTTTCCAGGTCGTCGGAGTAGGGGTTTTTGAAGTCAAGCTCGGAGAGATGCACAATCCCGGTCGACGGGACGTGAATGGTGGATGTTGTAGGGGTAATCAATCGAATTTCGGCAAATGCACCAGCCCGTGCGATACACGAATTGTAACATGCCTACGTCAATATAGCCCCGCCCATCCCTCTGACTGCACCTACGGTTTTAATGTATCGGGATTGCTTGGAAGAAACTCGTTCGTCATTGGTAAACTTGTACAATTTCCCATCTCATCCAACTGGCCAGTAAGTAGCGTAGTCACATTTTCTAATAATATTAGCGAAAGAACGAAAACTAACGCTGCTCTGCTCTGCTCTATTTCGACTAAGCTCTATTTCGACTAAGGCTATCATTCTCTGAAATCCCATGTGTGGTGTGTGTTGTCATATGAAAAAATTGCATTTTTTATTTATTTCTTATTTATTTTTATTTTCTCATGCATCATGTTATTTTTTTAACAATTCCTTGTTCTCCTTATTATGTCTTTCGGTATTTGAATGTGTTCGTTTGTTTAGTCTCGGTCCCTCTAAGTCTACCTAGCTTTCTCACGTTTTTGTACCTCGCGGCTTATTTCGTACTCACCATGTTTTCTTGTAGGAATCGGAATTATGCTGTTTATTAAATGTTTCTGAATGAGTTCCCACGCCCCCGTAAGGGTTTAGTTTATCATTTCAATTGGTTTCTAAGATTATTTCTGTTTGTTATGATTCAGCTTTGTTAGTATAACAATGCCATACCTCGAATACCTTTGTATTAATTTTTGTATGTCAACTTTCAAAGATGTTAGACGTAGCCATCTTTAAACCAAACTACCTTAAAAAACAGAACCCGTGGGAACGACCACTGGACCATAATACCATAACACTTCAGTCATATAAACCACGTTCATATTCTAATTATCAAGATGTATTCGTATTCTATGTTTGCTCCGTGTATAAACCTAATACATGATATAAATTGCACTGATTTTTTATAATATTTGTGAACTATTTTCTGTTTACAGGGCTCGTTTTCTCTTAAAGTCACTGCAAGCGTTCCAGGTTGGTAGCTTTCCCATGCAATATACCGTGTAATTAACACTTACTAACCCACATGGTAGAGCAATATCACAGAGACGACCGCCATCTTATGCATTAGTCACGTGGTGTCTCGAGATACATATTATTTTGCCAACGATTGATCCATTAAAAGTTCTTCTTTTAAAAACAAATAAATAGCAAGGGATATAAATAATTTACACGATTTCATATTGTCTTTTCGATGCATTTATAAGTGGTTATTTCTACAACTAGACGATAGACTCGTTTTGTCAATAGAAAACCATGCAAGTACATCTGGTTCCATGTTTATAAATTCCGCCAAAAATGCTTATTTTTCTTCCAATTGAGTGCTTTCCGGCCTTGTCTCTTTTATAACAATTCTCAGACTATAGTTTTCTTCCTTCAAAGACAGTAGTGAGCTATAGAGCCTCTTAACCTTAACCTATTCTCATTGCCTGCTAGTCTAATTGGGGCCAATTTCCGAAACTTATATTCTAAACGGTCGATCGAACGTTCTGGAACATATTTCAGGTGGTTTGAAAGTATTGTGTCCATAATATCGAGTTTCTTGTAAACGAGGAAAGATGCAAGTTGACCCTTGATGATCATTGTATTGTGCATGGATTGTCGGAGCCATTTTGGCCGCAAAGGAAGTACCGGCCTTGAGGCGAAGCATGGCTCAAGCAACTCGATTGACAACAATTGTTTGGATCTCACAAAATAGAACACAATATATTCTGAACAATTTCCTACAAATTCGATTATAATAATAATAAAACCATAGATCCAAAAAATAATGATATCGTGGTAGCCAAAATACGAAATATATATAGATCTTAAGTAATGGTAAAGATGATGATGATGATCATTATTATTGGTCTTCGTTGTTTCATTCAGAAAATCGCATTTCGATTCTTTCAATCCTACCATTGTTTCTACAGTGCTGCATCATTAGCCCTGTGAATTACTAAAGCAATCATCGATTGTTTTCTCAAATGTTATCAAGCATTACATACACACGACTTTAATTTCAATTCATGTGATAAGTATCTCACACACACATGGCAAACATCTGATCGCGACCCGACAGCGTAACTGCAATGATTACAAGCCTTACTTATACAAAACTGAAATAATAGAATCATGCGATATTTTTAGGCGGTGACATATCGTAGTATTGCATCATATGAAGGCGAATAACAAGATATCTGTTTACGGATCTTAAGTCAATATGCTTGGTACGATAACAATCAGCTTTGGCACTWATTCAAAGCTTATTGGCTTATATACACTCGCCGCGCGCGCCACACGGTACTGTAACGCTGTGACGTCATAGTGAAATAGGGTCATCATAAGAAGATTTTTCAAAAACAAAAACAAACAAACRAAAACAGCGCTCTTCCATTATGATGTCATAAACTAAAAAAAATACTCTTTCTTTTCAGGCACAAAGAAAACCATAATCGAGGCACTAGTGAAACGATCAACATTTGTAGCCAATCCACAATGGAACAACTATACATACACAATTCCATCAAGCGGAGGATTAAAGATAAGCCTGAGTTTCACCTATCGCTTTATATGTTCGAAAGATAATTATGGTGATGATTGCTCCAAGTCTTGTACACCACGCGACGATAAGTTCGGTCACTACAAATGCGATTCCGATGGAAATAGAGTGTGCTTRGATGGTTGGGGAACTGGACCGTCCGACACCTTCTGCGAAAATCGTGAGTGRTGCCCGTTCTATTGTTTCATTTCTTTGTTCCCGGAGCCGCAACTCCTATATTGAAATGAAATCGAGGATCCTTYGTTCATGTTTCTGAAYAAAGTTATGTTCTTTTTWTCTTATAGCAATTTGTAATCCCGCCTGTCAAAATTCCGGGACTTGTAAGGGTCCCAACAAGTGCAGGTAAGTGGAATGTTTAAATTTGAACCCAGCGCAATATAACCAGACTAATCATTGCYTTTCCGTACTGCAGTTGTTCAATGGGTTGGCAAGGTGCAACGTGTGAGCAGTGCGAAGTGTACCCTGGGTGTGCACACGGGACATGTCAGGATAAATGGGAATGTAATTGCAATTCAGGGTGGGGAGGACCTCTTTGTGATTTAGGTAAGTCAATGTTTAGTTCATAGACGTTTTTCAATGCAACTTTTAAGTTAAAMGTTTTCAGGAGGAGCCAACGGTGTCTGTTCWTCTAAATAACTGTTCTTGTACGAATGTTTTMCTGGGAAAGGGATTTTGAGCTACATTGTTGAMRATCTCACAASCAAATGTSSCGCCCTTYCTWCCTTATTTAAAATAATTTTGTTCCTGGCAAACGTTCTTAAGGTCAAAAAAGACTTAAAACGGCTTTTTATTTTCCTGACAAAAATTCTTAGAAAGTATCCCTTRCCTGGAGAGTTCTTTTTTCYTGAATTTCTYGCTGKCAACCAGTTGTGACTTACAGCTGGCTGGGMCATAAGAACAGAAATATTTCTCACAGGAACMCRKCGGCTSCTTCGAAGTTTTTAATAAAATTTCCGTTTRTTTTCAGAACTTGATTACTGTGGACGAAATAAGCCATGTAAACATGGTGACTGCAGGAATACACGACCGGGGAGGTATAAATGCATATGTAATAAAGGCTATGGAGGATTAAACTGTGAATCAGGTACGACAAGTTGATGTGGGATTCTAATCCAACAATTTTATTTAACGTTGATTCTCTTTTATTTCAGAAATTAATGAATGTGCAAGTAATCCATGTCAGAATGGCGGAAACTGTACTGTAAGTTATTGTCAATGTTGTATGCATATTGCAGTCGCATTAACTCCGCTGCAAATATTCCTAAAACTGCAAAAACACTTGGTAGAACACAYTTAATTTGCGGTCTTATAGCGTTAACTGTGGATGTGACGCATTTTTATGTTATTTGCATTCTACTATGGTCATAATCATCATGATCATCATTATATTCRCATATTTGCAGAAAATCTTACTCCCTCTAATCTCTTTCAGGACAAATTTGCAGGGTACAACTGTTCTTGTGCCGCGGGGTTTCATGGGAAACAATGTGAAATAAATATTGACGATTGCAAAGCCAACGCATGCGCAAATGGAGGCACGTGCATAGATGGCGTCAACGACTACTCGTGTCAGTGTGTCGTTGGTTTTACGGGAAAAACGTGTGATGTAAAAATACCACCAACTGAAGCTCCTACTAAATCAACTACACCGTATAATGGTACTTATATAACTACGACAAGCAATGGCAACACCACAGTAATTGGTAAGCATATTTGTCATCTTTACTGAAATCTTTCTTGGGATTAAATTAATTAAACTGTTGTTGTTTTCCACAGTTGGACAAAGAAAGGATGATTCRTCGACATGGAGTAAWGTGGTGGTCAATATCGTTCTACCTGTTGTGATCTGCGTCATTGTTTTCGTGTGTATAATAGTTGGAATTATCATTTGGAGGTGCTATAGAAAGCGTYACTGCTGTTGTGCTGGCAGTTCAACATCAAGTCGGGATCCTGAAGAACCGAACACTCGAACTGAAGTTAAACGCGTCAACCCTGATGATGGGAARGACGTGCACGATCTAAAGCGGTGCCGTGCGAGCACCTCGAATGTTAAAAACACTACTCCTGATATTATAATAAACTTTGTGCCYTCACGGCCGAGTMACAAGAATATTAACAGCGAGAAAGCAAGTCGGAGCAGGAAAGGAAAAGAATTGGACTCATCGCCGTTAGAAAGTACAAGGTAAGGTCAATTCACAGTTTCTGCGCGGGAAGTACACTCTAGAAGCTTTGGGCGTGACGTCACATCGCCGCCATGTTGCAATGGACTAGCACGTATTTCTCGATAGCTAAGTCATGCGAAGTTACTTGTAAAAGAGCTTACATATTCCTATGTATTCATATTGGGTGGCCGTAATCATATACTCAGTCGATTTAAGGAAGGAAGGAATGGATGGATGAACGGGTAAAAGATATTGCAAAGAAATGATTAAGATGACTGAATCGAGTCATTAGTCATCACAAAAAGTCTACTGACGACGTCACATGCGTTTTACACATTCGTTAATGGTAATCCATGTGATGATCTGACGATACTAGTGCGTAACATACGATAGTTATACACGTCGTATAGGTAACGTTAAACTAAGCTAAACCACTAGAAATAAGCAACAGAATTAAGCCTTTCTAAGCAATCGTCACTAGAATACGCTCAGTGGAAGCTGCATGCAAGTGAAAACTAGGGTAACAACGTTCATAGATGCATATCACGTGACTGAGCTATTGGAACATATCCTTTGCATTTTTACGTAGCATCTTTTTCAACAACAATGAAATRTCGTTAGCTTTTTGCGCTTGCTTAAAGAACAATGTGATAACGCAGAAACATAATCTGGTCGGTTGTAGTTCAACTTCTCTTTCAAACAGCCTAAATATTGTGAAGTCGAAATGCCACAGCGCAGATCTTTCCATCAATCATTTTCCATCACAAAACTCGTCAAAATACTCGCACGGATGTCTTCCTCGTTTTATTCGCAATGTTTTGTAATTTATGATTTCGGCTGATTGGCTTGAGGTAGGTTTTGGTGTAGTTTTCTGATGATAATTTTATTTCAGGCAATCTTTGGAGTTAACGGACATTATCCCTGAGCACGATTTGGGCGAACTATACCTGCCTAATCGATGCTTCGATAAAGGCTACTGGCAAGAAGTAGAAGTGGAAATTTAAATTGTTTTTGTAAGGTAAAAAGACWAAGAGCAGGACGGTGTTTTCATTGCTCTTAACGTGATTAACAATGGCTTCTCTTCTCACTTCTTGCACGATTTCTTATCAACTTGGAACACTAAACAACTAAGCACGAGCACAACCAATAACAACTTCGCTTCTATCGATGTTTCGCAGCTTGATATTACTATAATCGATAACGATTGACCGACTTTTCTTCAGAAATAATGGTTGCACGATTCATCTTTAATCGGTTGAAAATAACTTGATTGGGATTAAACTCTAAGATAATATTGATATTATAATCAGTTATACACATATTAATACATTTTGGATACTTGTAGTCGTATTGGAGTGTTTTGAATAAATTGGATTACYTGCGCTTTAGCCTGGCTAGAAAGGACTGGACCAACTCAACTTAATCCCTTTCGGCCAACCGTAGTGGCAAGTGTTCCAATGTGCGACACTATCAATACTACAAGTAGCCTTAAGTAACTCAATTATTTCTTCAATCATCATTTTACAGCCATTGCATGACAAAAATGGCTAGCTCCTATTGCATGTGCATAATACACAAGTCTACTTATCCATATCCCTCCACGCATGCGCATCATGTTACATGCACAACTTGGGTTGCGCGCGCAATTCGTGTKATAATGGCAGGCAAAACGCCCTGTTAGCTTCGGTTTTGACCCTCAWCAAGATGGRCGTGAATYTTTATAATGTTACTTCAGCGAGARAGGTGTGCACCCTAAGATATACACAGGGACATGATGCGGATGCTATCAAGACTCCCTCTTGGAGTAAACATTATTATGTAGATATATGTTTATCCTACTACTACTCCTGAGTTATGATGTACTTTAACCCGGTCACTGCCTCGTCCAATTGAGTCACACTAAATTAAAGTCAAAAATCACCGTTAGAAATATCTATATTATCARCTTTTCTAACGATTGGCACCTAAGCACCTATAGTTCTGTGCAGAAGGAATTCAAGGTTTCTATTTTAATGACACATTCCTTCCTTTGATAGGTTTGCAAAGCCTTCTAACCGCTCTCAGGAGACAGTCACGTGATCTACGTCAAAACTGGACGCCAGAAGCTGAACATGAATGGCATGATGGTCGGAATTCAACGTCACGACCAATGTGACGACCAGTGTAGGTCGAAAATTTTGCCTGTTTCCGTGGAGACGTCACAAACACATGAAGGCCGCGTGAGAGGACGATTGACACCTGTCAATCACGCCTGTAGGTAAACTCGTGGATGTCATGAACCATGATCCGATATATAAATGGTGGCTAAGCATACTCTAGCCTACGCTAAACTATGCGATACTTTGCGGACGTACGTTTAAATACATGTATTATATGGTCCAAGTTTATGTTGGTGACGTCACCTGCCTTCCATCGACGTCATGATAGTACCCAACTAGAGGAAGGAATAAGTTGTACAAAGCAAGATATATATATTATACTCGTTCTTCACGGCGTAACTGGCAGTTAACTCGTGGAAAGTACGTTGTAGGGGTAACTACTTTGGCATCGAATGATGGAAAGTAGACTCGTGATTATTGTTATTTGCATGCTTCGGTGGGGATTTTTAAGTTAGCAATAACATTTGTATAAATTTGATGTAGATAAAGTGCATATCGCTAAAAACGCGGAATTTCTGATATATATGAAGAAACTTACTGCTCTTAAAGGTAGCTCTCACTAATTGCAGTTATTTTATATTTATTGTATAAATTAAATTTTAAAGCTGTTATATTTAACTTTTCACAAGAAGGGTTTTTATTTGATTATGTGCAACAGCCGATATTACATTTTTTACAATTTGGACAATTCAATTTCAAAGGAAAATMTAACTCTAGCTGTGAATTAAGATTCTATTCTTATATGTCAACACATCGTTCATTCAGAATTCAGTTTTTTTTTCAGTGATATGCACTTTAATTGACATCCCCAAATATCTWAATGCTGGGTGTCGGTAAAACTTGTAATATATAATACTGTGTGCGATACGTAACTCAAATCAGCCAATAACATACTGTTTTCTTGCCGCGCGCGAACAAGTGATCAGGCTCAAGTAGCTTTTGACGTGATTTCCCATTTGTAGCAAGTACGCACAACTTTACAACAGTTTACAAGTTTTTTTAATTTAATTAAGTGCCCAGAGAGCGTAATATTTTCCGTCTGCAGCGAAGATATAAATGGAGTATATTACATTTCAAAGTTGAAGACCAGAGTTTCTAGGGTGGTGTAAAGTTTAAGGGTGCGCATACGTGAAATGATTGTTTTTATTCATTYTATTTCACTTTGCTTGGAATATATAATTTTATTACTACATTGAAATCAAACCATATTCAACGAATGTACTGTTCTAAAACCTAGAAACTCTGGTCTCCTTTGTAATTGTAAATAGCTATTACAAAAAAGGTTGTCGGATGAAATGGCGAATGTCAATGGTCGAACGGCGATTGCACGACCGAAAGTAGCCAGGGTTTTGCCTGTTGAAAGGCAATAAAAAATTGATTTGTATTGTATGATGGTCTGTCGTAAACATTGGCTCCATTTAGCCTCCATGTCTATACAAGGTAAATCCAATAAGTGAAATTTTGAGAAATTTTAAGTGTAACCATAGTCCCTTTCGGCCGTGCAATCTCCCTTCGATAATCGTCGTTCGCCGTTCTCCCCGGCAACGTTTTTTGAAATAGCTGTATACGGTCCTAAGTAGACTCTTCCCTGCAGTCTTAAAGTAGGCGGGATCAGGGTAAAGACATCAATCAAAGAAGGTCAGCATGATAACATTCATTAATACTTCGTAAATACTACTACTTCGTATCAGAAGTACAAGTATAGACCTATGGTCATTTACTATCATTACCGGGGGTGGGGTGGGGAGTGCATTACAAGCATTGCAAAGATTTGCTGATATATTCCTGTGGCTGCGAGGACTGRGTCCGAGGTATGTGATGCAGTTATGGATAAAAGCAATCCCAGAATTTACTTGGGGCATAAATCGACCCAGTTTCTCTCGCAATAGCAATTGTTTATACGCACAACTAGCTTTTTGCTGATCTCTGCAAGACATTTGCATGCTATTTGCTATCATTCCTTATATTAATAGATTTGAAAGTCATTTCTTTTACTTATCCGCTAGCCTAATCGGCTTCTTTTATTCTTAARCCAAAACGAAATTACACGATGAAAGGGRAGATGAAACGCTYYTCTRTTCGTTCATTTCCTAGCYATTCACGCATGCGCACTTGCAACCTGCTTTGATTACACAACGACACCCTGACCCCCACTTCACATTAGAATGTATAAATATATATATTTTTGTAAAATTTTCTACCGTATGGTTTTGTAGAAACTGTCAATTAATGATAATAATAACGTCGTGGTTACAAAGAGAATCTAATATATACATATACAATTATCATATAGAACGAATCGCGAGTTAAATAAACTACTTGCACACCAATCATTTTGTATCTTGTATTATTGCATTCGTTTGCTAGCCTCTTCGCTATCAACTCTCTAAGTATACTATATTTTTACAAGCGTGTGAGATTCCTTTAGCGAGAGCCGGGGSTRGCTGAGTATTTTTTYTCACCCCCTTTCCCCTCCCCCTTYGTCTTTTGTAYATTCATTCCCAGACTACCCCAGACAGAGTGTGTGTGAGAGAGAGAGAGTTACGGCAAACATTTTGACTACTGACATACATATATATCCATCTTGTGAGTCTAGCATCATGGCAAATTTATGATACTTTGACYGGCAAAAGTGGGTGTCCTTTCAAAAATGGAAAGGCGTTGTTTGATGRATCTAATGCCTGTGGAATATTTTTTTTGTGCATGAAATAAGAAAATTATTTTTTAAGGAATATAACAGAGTTCAAATTGTTATTGTTACGGCATCAGAGTCATTTTCATCCGTCTTTGAAATAGGAATTGTACTATTAAATACTAGCTATTACCCCCTATTAGCTCCCAATAGTTTAACTTATGACATGTGACAAACAAATTAGGCAAACACGGGTTGGTAGCCTACTACACCAACACTGGGTAGTAGTAATTGTTTCACAGACGGATTAAAATGATTCTACAGCATAACAATTTGTTCAAAATATCGTAATATTTTTGGCACCAATGGATAACCCACTCCACCCACCTCCTCCTGACCCTGTTCACTATATATAGCTGTGAGCGGTGAAATCAAAAGAGGGTTACTACCTTCTGCTACTTTTATAACAGCAAGGTCAAATTTCTGCAAATATTTTCTAATGATAGTGAAGATAATATTTTTCAACAAGTGTGTTTCAATGACGTCATATCTGATGACGTTATCAATCGCTTTTATCCAGAGATTTATCATTGAAAAGTTATGAGAAAAAGTTAAAGGAAAGTGTGTTTTTTCATGTACTATTGGGCATAATAATTCATAATTGGGTTTGTGGTGTARTAGTTTGTTTAGTTTTCCTGTATTGGCACCTTAGACGAACTGTGAACGTCAAAATATGCTACAATTCACAAAAACATTTGCTATCTAAGCACACTATATCCAGGAAAATCTCAAAACATGATCGTGTTATACTTTTGGAAATATAGCCCAGAAAAAATAGCCACGTTTTAGGTGGGTTTGAGGTTCGTTTGGCGTCAGGTTCTTATTCCTTTAGAGGATTGGAAACTAAGCACGTCACAAAAAAGGTGGAAAAAGCATTCTGGCCTGGTAGTATRCAACACCTCGCTATTACTCTCATCTTTTAGCTCACCATCCTTTATAAGGCGATCTGTTGGCTAGTTTAAAATCATAGAACAGTCCGCAGATGATATTCAATTCATTAAATTGAACARCGGAATAGCTTTGAATTTATTTTTATCGAAGACAATTAGTAGTCGGTTTTTTAAAGTCGTTTTGATAAATCGTGGGTTTCCTGTGTTTGAATACACAGGAAGCCCACACGAGCTCAGTGTCAACCAAAAATGAAATATATAAAATGAAACTATCAAATACTGTTTCATCTTATCATTCCTTGCCAAACGACATTTCCAAAATWTACACATCGATAAAAGCTGCCACATCATCGGTATCCTGAAAACGYGAGAACCCAACCAAGTTTGAAAGTTTCACTACAGGGAAATAAAACTTTTGTTTCCTGCCACGTCATGGTGAACCAGTGTCACTTTTAACATGGTAAATATTTGTTCGGCATCGTCGTTTGAAAACACTCGTATGATCATGGTGCAGGCACATGAGGGCAGYATCAATAGTGGTCGTACCACCACCTACGCTTCCCGGCATTCCATTCCCCTTACGTCTCAARCGAAAAACAAAMTCATGAAGATGTGTGCTCCAAAAATACTACGTTTAGAAAACAATTGCATCCTGATCATTCGGGACTAGATAAGATGAATTTGCGATGACACAGTTATAAGTTATAAACCTGTGTCTTTTAGACTTAAACTACTGATACTATCGGACTATTCATGGCTTAGTTATAGTCCGTGAGATGAAGTTTAGAAACTGTGAGTTAGAGACAAACGCCACAAGAAGGAATGGTCAGAGCGTATCACTGTAAAGGCAATAAAACAATGTACATTTTTTGTAAGAATAACCTATTGCGTCTTGAAATGATTAACCCTATTGCGTCTTGAAATGATTAACCTTTGTACTAGCTTTGACAGTCACGTTGGCTAGATGACATCGCACTTTCCCTAAAACAAAAGTGGCACGAAACGCTGGCTCCTTGCCTTCGTRCTCTCCACAAGATTGAACTTATTGCTTTTGAAAAAAATTAATTTGATTAAACCCTTTAGCCTTGCCGGCTCGTGCGGCATTTTGGCGGCACAGCAGTGCTATACTTTGCAAAAGTGTTTTTTTTTTGTATGTTAAGATCACCCAAGGAAACATCCTGGATACGCCCCGCCATTGTGTTTCCAACTGACCACACGGGTCCTGCACTTTGACCTTCTGCTCGCAGTTAACTGCTCTCAGTAGTGGCTTTAGACAAGACAAAAAGAAACATTCACAAAACAGCATAAAACGAAAAGGATATCAAATCGATTCAGCGCTAGATATATTTTTGTACATATTTAGTCGTCATTATTCCAATYAGCCGACAGTAATTATTCAACTTATCCGAAGACCGAGTTTCACTTGAGTTTGAAAGTAAAAGAAATTAACTGTCATTCCTACTGTCAAACTATATAGCTACAAATTAAACTATCAATTTACTGAAACAGACGAGTAGACTTATATATAGCGACAAAAAAAAAACGAAACGTCTAAAACGCGACTTTCACTGACTGAACWTGTAAAATTAGACAAAATTTCAGATGAGTCCCGACGTTAATTATCATTGCTATTATTATCATTATTACTATAAGGATTTTATGCACGTTCTATTGTTGCAAAACGAGTAAATTACGTATCAAATATCGAAATTATGACATTTATCAGCCTTGCCCTCGACATGGTGCTAGTTTCCAGTCTCTCTTCGCAATGCGCACCACCCTGTAAGCAGTGCATGCCGGGACATTCTTACCAAAGGTTCCGTACACACTGACTGTCGATTTGTTGTTCAGCTTCAAAATATTGCCATCKTTAAATCGCGAAAATTATCCTTRTACTTGAAGGAGTGTTTCTGTCCTTCGAGGATGTGGATTGGGCCGTAGATTTGTGGTTATTTTCGAGTGAAGCTGAAATCTTTGGACCGATCGCTGACCAACTCAAGCTGGGCTATGATGGGGTTTACGGGATTGCTGAAATTGCGTATTTTCGAGGCCAAAGACTTAAAGCCATCACCCAAGGCTTACTGGGGATGGGGAGTGAAGTTCACTGAAATAAACCCTTATTTGTTAGTGAAAGTGGACGATGTTCAGATCTGTCAAACGTCTTCGGAGATGAGGACTTTTACGCCTGTATGGAATACTGAATGTGAACAGAATATTGAGAATGGACACAAAATTGAATTTACGGTCTTTGATCATTCACTGGTCCAACCCCATCCTTTCGTCGCACACACCACTCTGCTATTTGATGAAGTCATAAAAAGTGGTGCTTCGGAGCTATGGGTAAATCTTGTGATCCGTTTTGTTTTGTTTTTGTTCTGAATTCAATGCTGAGTCCAATGCTGTATACAATTCTGTAGATCAAGCTRGAGCCTCATGGAGAAGTCCATGTTACCATCGATCTCAAACCAGGTAAATTTTGCATTTCCAATTTCTAGTTTTAAAAATATTAGTAACTATGTTATATTATGTSAGCTTTTAACTTCTTCACCGTGGATTTGGCAAGTCTTTTGAGGAGGAAACTTGGTGTGTTCCGAGTAGTGAAAAGCCATTTTAGAATCGTGTCAAGGTCACATCTTTTGTATGAAAGTTTACTAGTATTTTTGGTCAATTTTAGCTACAACTAGAGTTTTTAAAGAACACCCYGATGGCATCAATCGAAGGAGAGGTGCGATGCGRAGAAGAATACATCAAATCAGTGGACATAAGTTCATGGCAACATATCTTCGGCAGCCAACTTTTTGTTCGCAGTGCAAAGAATTTATTTGGTGAGTTGCAGATCTGATGGTAGCTTCTGATTGTACTCACTTGCAATTTATATCACCATTSAAGATAACTAGGATCGAATAGATAGATTTGAAAGATTTATGCATAATCAGGTTTTGGAGTTGTGGCGATCTCCAAATGTTTTTACCAGACTTGGTATGCTATCCATACTTTTTCCTAATCTAAATCGAAGCTGCTTGCATGTTGATCATTCAAAACCATTTCCTATCGAAATATTTTTCCAAAAAGTTGCCAACACGTTTTCAGTATTGACACATTGGGAATTTAGTTTGAAATCAGCAATTCYCAAACCATTATTCTTCTCAATACAATAAACTAAACACATTATCTGCAAGTGCATCACCTGTCTTAAATGCATCTACATTAAATTTTGTGTATTTTTTCCCTTGAAGCTTTTAGAATATTCCAGTGCATTTATWMCAGAGATCTCAATTAACTATCTTCAAATAACAAAAATTTAGAAAACAGATTGGATATTTGAAAAATGATTTGTTCCTAAGTATTTATTCCACYTCATTCAAGCTTATTTACAAGGTTTTTTTTTTGCTGTTGATCTTAAAAACCTTCTATAACATTTCAAAATAGCATCTGTGTAATAAATAGCATGTCATAAATTATCTGTGACATGGTTTCAAATCAACATTGAGACATATAAGAGTAAGTTTAGTTTGATCTACTAGTTTATGTTAATTGCATTACAATAAGATTTCAGTATATTCTCTCAAACTGCCTTGCTTTTCACTTATTCGTACATGGTTCCATGGTGTCTTCTSAAGCAAGAACAATTACAATTGCTGCAAAAACATGAACCCCTGTCAAGCCAGAACTACTTGAATTTATCTATGATATTTGTACAATTTCTTCTTTTTTTTGTTTTGTTTTACTAAAGAAATAGGCATGGATGTCA